CTTGAATCATGTCTGGTTCACCTCCCTTCTGGTAACTGAGGGATTAAGCTTTGCTTCTGAAGTAAATGTTCCTGTCTGAAGCTGAGAGTCTGTTTCTAGTTTTTTGGTGATGAAATCTGGAACAGTAGCCAGAAACTTGTAAATTCTTTTGTGTCTAAGGTTTCTCCTGGTTCCTGCTGGGAAGGTGTGTTATCACAAGTGTTCATTTCTCAGCATCTTTTGAACTCTACTGCCTGTTTAAACAGTCACGTGGCATCTCGGGCTGTGCCTCTTTCTAGAGCTCTTCAAGACTTCTTGAAGCAAATGACATACCCAGAGCCTCTCCTTTCTTAGCAACTTGAAGTCATTAACTTTCTGCAGCAGTACAAGCCCTTTACATTAATGTTTTTATAGCCTCTGAATGCATAACAAATTCCTGGTGCCTTTTTTTATACTCAAAGGCTGCAATAATTTTCTCGTTGCTTGTCTGGAATCTTTTCCCTAACTACAGTTACCTGTAATGTCATCCCATGAATAATGAAAAATGAAGTCAGGTTTGACTTTACATTTTGCTGCTTATCCAGCAGTAGCTGAGAGGTTTTTACAGCAGTTCCCTTCCAGATTTCATGCTGACCCTGCAGTCTGCTGGTTTCCCTGCCACACATCCAGCTGTTAACTCGTGTCTCCTGCTGCCAGTTACATCTGTCCACAGCTGGGCAGGAACTCTGGGAAAGACAACCAGAAACATCTGCCAGCATTCCCCAGGTGCTTGTGCCTTAAAGACCAGTTAGCCTTGGCTGGCTCATGGCACTGCTCTTCTGGAGCACCCTCCAAACCATGACCTGCTCCTGGCTCACGCTGCCGCTGCTTTGGGTGTAACTCTGTGTTCTGGAGGTGTCTGAGCTCAGCCAGTGCTTTAGTTTGTTCCAGCTGGTGGGAGGTGTGAATTGTCCCATGGGATGTCATCCTGCCTTGGCCTCAGCCCATTCCTGCCCTGCCTGTGGCACTTGAGGGTCACCATGGAGAGCAAGGGACAGTGGGGACAGCCAGGAGCTGTGAAATGGGGGTCAGGAGAACCTTGTGCCTTTTGTCTCTGCCAGGATGGATGAGCTCCAGCAGCAGTGTCAGGGAGTTCCTGAGCCTGCCTTGATCCTGCTGGCACTGAGCAACCTGCACTTAAATTGGAGCTGTGAGGCAACTTGACACCACGGGGAAGTGCTTAAACTCCTGGTGAGAGCAACCTGCAGCACTTCACTCCCAGGCACAGTAAAAAAGGCAGCTCTGAAGTGCTGTGAAGCTGCTGCAGTGCTGCCATCCTTCCTCCCCTTCACCTCCTGAGCCCATTCTGGGTGGGCTCTGCCTTCTCTGGTTGCCAGAGGTGCTTTTGCTTTCCTGTGTCACATTAAAGCCATGCAAATAGTTTCTATAGCAACAGGTGTCTTTGCTGAGCTCTGACGCAAAATCCTGAAAGGTCTTTCTCATTCTGTCTTCATCCAGTTCTGATTTTTCATTTTATCAACTCTTTTTGAAGATAAAGGGCAAATTAGTTCTGATCTGTTTTAGGAGTTAACTTGCAGCATGGGTGTCTGTTTAGTTTCAGCAGCCCACTGAAGTTTTTGCACCAGGGGCTGAACTTTTGGCTGAAGGAAAAATCAGCTGGAATAATTTAGAGAGCACCCTGACTGTACAAACAATGAAATCAAACTAGTGAAGCAGGCAGCATGGTCTGGTAGGTAGAGTGAAAGAATGGGAAAAGGGGCAAAAATTTGTCCCCAGTTTTGCTTCTGGCCTGGTTAGTCTGAGGCTGCTTCCCCTTCTGTCCTTTCAGCTCTGTTAAATTTTCCAGAAGATGTGCTGCAGCACGCAGGCTGAGCTTTTATGACCCCTGTTTGATGCTATTGCAAATGGAAAAAAAAAAGTAGAAAAAATATTAAAAAAAACTAAAAAAACCCTGACAAATTTAGATAAAGTGGTGTTGCCTCCCTGCACAAGGTGTTTGAGTCTGTGCCAGAGAAATGCCTCCTGTGTAATTACTGCAAACAACTGCTGCAGTGGGACACAGGTAGAAGCAGCTGTGAAAAGATGCTCTGCTCACTCTGCTTTTGTCAACATGGGCTTGGGCTCCAAAGGGGGAGGTGTAGGGATGGGCAGGCTTCAAGCTGTGCTGATTTTCAGGAAGAGAGACTTGTGAAGTAGAGACTGGAGCAGAGCAGGGGTGGATGGCCACTCAAGACCATAGCCATTTCCTCAGGTGGTGGCCTTCAGCCTCACACTTTGTTTTACCTGTGTGTCCTTGTATCACTTGGCACTTGTGGAGGAGTTTTTGGAGGGCCTAACACTGAGCTGGTTTCTTCCTTTGTGGGCCCTTCTTCTCAGGGAGTAGGTGGTGCTGACAAAATCAGCACATCTCACTGCAGGCACAGCTGCAGGTGTTGTCTGTGACCTGGCTGTAACTTGCTGCCAATGTTAAATAAATAAAATTGCAAAATTGGCAAGACCACTATAAATAAGAAGTGTGAAGCACCTCACAGCTCTGTGGCTGCAGTTCTTGACATGCAGATCTGTTTTCTTACCTCTAAAACTCCCCTGGTTGTGCAGGGGCACTGCCCACACTGCTGGGACTGGGCTGTGGCATTAGAGGGGATGTGCAAGGAGGGTGGATGCCCTTTGTGCTCCTGTTTGATTGCTTTGGCCATGAGAAGGTTGCAGGGTGCCTTTTGTTCCTGGAGTTGCCTGTGTGGTACTTCTGAGGTCACTTGAAGTTCTCTTTGGCTGAGCTGTCTCCATGATGCAACACAGCTGTGAGAGGAAGTTTGTAAGGACCCACTAATATAGATTTTGTCTATTAATTAATGTATATCCATCCATATACAAATGGATATGAGGTTTCATGAGTGAAGTACCTTCTGTTGTAGCTCTGGCCTTGCTCTGTGTCACACACCAGGACTCTTAATGAGAATTTGGCCATTTCTGGCTGTTCTGAACAATCTGCTTTGCTCGTGTGCTGACGTAAATCCATATCTGACATCAGGCTCTGATATGCTCCTGGTGAGGCTGGTGTGACCTGAGCTGGGGGTCTAATAACAGCAGCAGTCACTCTGGAGATGCTTCGTGGATCTGTTTGGATTTTGTTTTAATAACTCTGGCCACGGCAGCAGGTTTTGTGCAACCACTGTTTGCCTTTCTGCTGTGGAAATGGCACGGCTGCAGAGTGCTGCAGGAGGGAGCTCAGAGCCCAGACTGCTGCTCTGCCTTCCCTTCCCTCTCCCTTGAGCCTGTTCAGATCCTCTCTTTTGGGTTCTCCCTTTGCCTGGCTGAATTCACAATTACACAACTGCATGATGCTGCCCATGCAATCAAAACTCTCCCCAGCAGTGCTTGGTGTGAACCAGACCCAGAAATTCAAAGAACACCATCATGTGCCTTCACAGAGCTGCTCCCTGCCCTTTTTCATGCCCTCTATTCCTGCCCTCTGACCTGATCCAAACCCTTCTGGGATTCATCCTGGCTGCCTTGCAGCTTGCCAGCCCTTCTCAGGGAAGGGCCCGCGGCGCAGGCGGAACGTCTCGCGCGCAGTTTCCAGGGTTACCTGTGCAGTGCTGATAGCAGGCAGGAAATTAAAATGCTCCATGATAGTGATGATCCCTTATCGACAGCAGATGGTGGCCATTAGCTGGATGTGCATGTCAGGGGAAGGCACCAAGGCAAGCAGAGCAGACATCAGCGTTGGGTTTGTGTCACCACCACCGTTGGATCTGTGTCACCACCACCGTTGGGTTTGTGTCACCACCATCGTTGGATCTGTGTCACCACCCCTGCTGGGTTTGTGTCACCAGCCCTGCAGGTGCTCCGAGGTGCATGCAGGGCAGTCCCTGAGTGCCCTGGTCTGGCTGTGGTGTGTGGGACTCTGCTTTCCTGGAAGTAACTCCAAGGAGCCAGTGTGGCTTCCAGCTGAACTCGTTTGCAGAGTTCCTTGTCCTTGTTATCAGCCCATCTGTACAGCTGGTTCTCCCCTGCAAGTTTCTCCTTCATACACAACTTTTCTCTCTTGTTCTTCAAAAGACCTGGTTTCTTGACTTGGGACTATTCTGCTTTTAAGATGTCTGAGCATGGTTCAGGTGCCTGCAATCTCTGTGGAGACTGATGTGCTGTAACCTGTGCCAAGACTGGGGATTTGTCAGGGGACTGCTGAAAGTGGAGATCAACTGAGGATCCATTCTGCTGAGGTCTGAGAATAGCCAGGTATAACCTGTGCCAAGACTGTTTGGGGATTTGTCAGGGGGCTGCTGAAAGTGGAAGATCAACTGAGGATCCATTCTGCTGAGGTCTGAGAATAGCCAGGTGTCACAGAATGTGTTCCTTTTCTAACTGAGCTGTCTCTTCTCCCTTCTGTCTCTGGGGGGGTTTCTGCACCTCACTCTTCTGCTAACTCTGAGGTGCAGAATTAGGCTGGCGTGTGGATGTGCCTGCCCATTTCAGATCAGGACAGCAAATCTCTCTCCAGATGTGTCTCTGACTTCTGTGTGTACCTGAACAGCTGCTGCCTGGTGTGCTGCAGGATGACATTTGCATGCAGAGCCTTCTTGGAGACAGTAATGCTGCTGTTAAAGTGCTTGGAGGAACCACTGTGATGGTTTAGGTTTTCCCTGACCTCGGGCTGGCTTTGCTTGGTGGAAGCACCGATGGAAGCCCACAATATCAGCTGTTAATTGCTCCTTAGATGTCAGTAATTCTGCAGAGACCAGACCTGTTCTAACCCGTGCTCAAGCTATTAATTAAATGAAACACTCCAGGCTGGTTTCTGGTGCAGCACGTAGGCAGTGTGACACGGGGGCACAGGCAGGATCGGACGCAAACCAAAACGTTCTTGTGATGTTACTCCTTACTTCCCTCCCACACCTTAACCCTAAAATCTATACCCCTGAGAGAGTTCTGCCCTTGCTACAAGCTTTCTCAGGCCCAGGCTGGAAGAGCCTGCCATGATTTTTGGGTTTCTTTTTAATGCAAATGTTTGATTTCAGATGTCCTGAACGACGCCATCTTCGACGAAGACCATGATGAGATGGTAATTGTGAAGGACATAGACATGTTCTCATTGTGTGAGCATCACCTCGTTCCATTTGTTGGAAAGGTAACTCTCCCTCACAGAACAAATGTGGGAATGCACAATAAAAGACCTTAAGTACATGTAAAAGACTTTGTAGCTGTAGCTACAAAGCTTTTTAAGGCTGTAAGTACTTGCTGCTTACGGCTACAGTTCTAGAAGTTTAATCTTCAGAATACAAATAAGGAAGGTCTCCTTAATGTGAGGTTTTATTTGAATTTAAGCTCTTGAAATATAATGCTCAACCTTTCCTAGTCTAAGTAATCTAATGGTTTCTGACATTTCATATCAAAGCTCTTCTCCATGAAGCAGCAGCAAGCCTTGAGGGCAGACATCTCGATATTAAACCAGCTCACCCTGCACACTGGCTCTGTCATGGATTTAGCTTCTGGCTCAGAGCTATCCAGAGCACATTCATCTCTCTGAAAGCCCCTGTGAGTGGAACAAACTCATTAGCAGCCCTGCCTTAATTATGTGAGCCGAGTCAGGGAGAAGGTGGCCAAAACTGGCTCTGCTTAACTGGGGAGTCCTGTGAAAGGGGCTGGTGCTTCAGAGGGTGTTGGAATTGTGGTGCCAACAACTTTAGGGAAATAAAATTTCTCCAGTTAACCACTGTAGAGGTGATGAAGAGTTCTGAGGGGGAGCTGCACATCTCAGCCTCTCCAGTCCCTTATCAGCACAGAAGGATGGAGCTTAGCCTGAGCCATCTGTTACCATAAAGTGCTCACAGGTCCAAGAGCAGCACGTGCTTGTGTTGTCTATAAAATTCAATCAGTGCCACATATGTTCCAAGCAAATTGTCTCCCAATAATAAAATACATGAACAGAAACCAGCTGTTTATTTAGTTGAGTCAATTCAGGTTTGTCTGTTTTCTTTTCTTGCTGTTGGTGTTTTATCCTGGAGAACAGGATAACCTCTTTTTCTGTGCAAGCTTTCTGTTGTGCCTGTTACTCTTGGCTGTGTGCACTGTGTATATTCTCCCTGTTATTCCTGTGGCAATGTGTGCATTTTTGTTACATCCAGCTGTTTAGCCTGTGTGGTTTGGAGAAATCTGCTCACAAACACCAACTCATCCTACAAAATGACTTGGTATGGCTCCAAATATTCAGAGCAAGCATTGCCCTGCTGGGTGCACCAAACAGGCTGCAATCAGTGACCTGAAGGTCTCTTGCACTTGCAGTTCTACCTTACAGGAAATCAAGAAATCTGCAAAAATATGGGGAACAGGATTCAAACTTATTTCTAAGTGGTGTCCCTCACTTTGTCTGAAATGTTTCATGTCTTTTCAGGTGTCAGTGGGTTGATTTGCCTAACAGAAGGGGTAGGAATGAGCAAGTTAGCCAGGTAATCAGGTGCACTGTGGTACCTCTTCTGCAGGCACAGCAGCACAGGATTCTGAGATGGGGCCTCCAGGCAAAGCCAGAATCTCCCACTGACACTCCCCTGCTGTGTCTTGGCTAATTTTTCAAGTCTCTGGTACAGTGGCACAAGGACTGGTTTATAATCTAACTGTAAAGCCACTGGAATTCAGTGGGTTTCTAAAAACAAGGAGTTGTTTTTAGAAAACAATGTCCTTTCCTTCATATCTGAGCACTTTTCTGCTAAACTTCTTCCAATTTAGTTCAAGTACATGTTCAGCAAATCCATATTTGAGCAGGATGGAAGCTGAGTTAATCACCAGTGATCTCTGATACTAAAACAAGAAAAATAATCAAATCAGGAAGTGCAGCCTGATTTTTGGTGGCAAAGTACTTCTTGCCACCAGAACTTTCACTGGAAGTAAAGCACAGTCCCTCTTCCTTCCGCTCCCTAAATCCATTTAAGGTCTTGAAAGAAAAGCATGTTTATTTTAGACAAATAGTGCTGTGCTGAGTAATAGACTGCCTTTGTACCCAGATGCAGCAGTGTTCTGTAGCATTCCTGAGACTTGGAACATAAGCCTTGACTCTTGGAGAGCTGTGACTTTTCTCCCCCTCAGAAAAACTCACCTGTTCTTCACCAGGACCTCGTGAGGCATTCACAGCCTCAGCTCCTCAATTCCCCAGGCTTGCATGGTGCCACGTTCCTCCCACGTGCTGAGGCTTCTGGGCTGTCCCAGAGTTAATTCTGGGGCAAATGCACATCCCATTGTCTGTGCATGAGTTTCACATGCCCTTGGAAGGGTGGTTTTGCTGCTGTTAATAGTTCTTCTCCCCTGTCTAGGTACACATTGGTTATCTCCCCAACAAACAAGTGCTTGGCCTCAGCAAGCTCGCTAGGTAAGTGTTCTAATGAAAGTGATGCTAATTTGTAAAAAGGATTCCAGGCTGTGCTAGCTGTGCTAATCTTTTTAATCTCCTCTCCCTCTAAAGCTCAGCCCACTTTGTGTCCTGGATTTGGATTTAGACCAATCCTCAGCATTGTTTTATTTGTGTGGAGAGGACAGATAAGTCTTGGAGCTGTGTGTTAATTCTCACCAGTGGCTGCAGCAGAGCCCTGATGCTTTTTTAGATTCCCCCAGAGCACTGGGGTCTGCAAGGAGCTCTGAGGCAAAGAACAAGAGAATTTTGTTCTGTTCTAGGGCAGGCCACAAAAACCAGTGAGAATTTCCAGCTCTTTACCACTTGGCTATAAATTGACTAATAAGAACAAAAATCTGAAAACTGTAAATGAACACATTTTATGGATATAAATTAAATCTAAAGCTTTCATCTCTTAGCTGACTCTTCAGAAAAATGTGGTGTACATTTCTTTCACTGAAAACTTGCTGAGAGTGCTGTGGGGTAGATTTTATAGATAAAGTGCAGCCTGAGAAACAAAGCAATTGTGATACACTTGAGAAATCCATTTATTATGTAAAATAGCTTTTTTCCTCAGCAACTGCCCTCGGGTCAGTTGTTGCACTGACTCTTGGTTATTAAGTGACACTTTCTCGTGCTGGTGAGGAAGAAGATGGTAGATCCCTTCAATAAGCAGATTATTTGAGATCAGAGTGGAAGGGTCCCTTTTGGAGAAACAAACCTAAAAATTTGGCTGAAGCTCAGAAAGACAACATAGGTTTTGCTTTCCCTGATGGGTCTGTTAATCCTGCTGTAGTTCCAGGCTGGAAAGAGGTTTTTCAATGTGTAGATTTTCTCCTGCATGTTTTTTTTTGTGTCTGTGGGAGCTGCTGGAACTGTAGGCTGGAGTTCTGAGCTGTCAGACCTGCAGCTGCTGGGCAAAAGTTTTCATCTGTTAGCTGCTCATGCTTGGGATGTGTGGGGCATCCCATGGCTGGTGTTGGGTTTGGGTGGGTCTTTAAGTGGTGCAGGGCTGGGGAGTTTGTTGTTGGTGGTTTTTGGAGTTGGATTTCTGAAGAGAATCCATTCCTCCTGAAGAGTCTGTCCTCGGCACGTGGTTTCATTTCTGCAGGGCTCCAACGCAGGATCAAGGATCACATTTGAAATGTGCATCCACTGGTTTGTGCTTGCTCTGGTCTCTATTTCTCTCTTGACTGCAGCTGTAAAAAGGAGCTCAAAATGCTTTTCATGGATTTTTTTTTTTTTTAAAATGCAAGTGGCAACATGGTGCTGGGAAGATGCAATTTTCCTCCTGTTTATCCTCAGAATGGAAACCTGCATCAATATGTGCAAGGCTTCCTGCACTGTGCTCAAAGGTTAAATCTTGCCTCTTTCTAAAGTGAGGGTGAAACTCCCATATACTGCAATAATGAAAAGATTAGATTCTTGTATAACAAAGTGTTCTCACTTTTGTGTGCTTGCCATGAAGGGGTTTGGGGGGTAAATCATGCCTCCCTTTGGTGCCCTATATAATGCAACCAGTGTTCAAGCAAAGATTTGTGAGGCTGTTGGTGCTCTAGGCCTAATCTTTCATAATAGGATTAGTTTTATGTGGTGAGTTTCTGTAGTTGTGGATGACCTGCATTCAGTAAACAAACATCTTTCCCTGGGTTTTAAGCTCAGGCTTGAAAATGCTCTTTCAAATAACTGTTTTTACATAAACACCTTGTTAGGACTTCTGTGCAATATCTGAGCATGTTTCCTATCCATATGGTTAATCTAAATATTGTGTTGCTTTGTTTTATGCTGTCACACAACCATTTCATTGCTGGAGGGGAGTTTGTGCATTTAATTCTCTCTAAAAAACAGCAGGAGAGTCTCATTGTCAGGGATGATTCTTGTAAGTGATGCTTCAGGCTGCCAGCCAGTGTCTGGCTTTTGTCTGGTGTGACCAGACAGGTATCAAAGCTTGCTGTAGCAACTCCTTTTTGTGGCCACTTGAAGTGTAATTAAGCATTTGAGGTTGGCATGAACAGCCCCTGCAGTTACAGAGCAATTATATGGATTTTCTTAAATGTGTGGATTCTAGAGCTGTCTTTGAGTGTCACTTCCACTGCCCAGCAATGGCTTAAATTTGGAGTTGTATTGGAGGGGACCATTAAGGTGGTCCCTGCACTGAAATGTGAAGGATGGGGTGAGATATGAGTGGGTGGAGAGATTCTGTTTTAAATAAGACCAAATCTGTCTCATTGTTCTCAGCTAAATTTGTGGTCAAATGCAAGAATCCAAAACATTCCTTGCTCAATTTCAGCATTCTGGGCATCCATTATCTGAGCTGACCTTAAGGCAGCATTTGGTCTAGTCTGAAGCGCAGGGAAATGTTCAGGAATTAGGGCTCAGGGAGACTTTGGACATGAATTCCAAAGGTGGGTGGGGATACAAAGAATTCCAAGCCAGCAGAAGGAGACCAGAGAAGTGACTGTTTTGCCCTAAAATAGTCCCTGGTGCTGCAGGTGGGGGGAAGCTGTCACTCAACACAGTGACGTGCCAAGGGCAGCCCGTGAGGAATACCTGGGCAGCCATGGATTTACACAGGTCAGCACAGGGCTCTCTTTTGGCAGCACCAAATTAATTGTGAAGATCAGTCAGTGGCCAGCTGGAAATAACTGTAATATTGTCTTTTTCCTTTCTCCTTTAGGATCGTGGAAATATACAGTAGAAGGTTACAAGGTAAACACGAAATTTGGTGTTTGTTGTGTGCACTCCTCTCCTAGTCAGTGCAGGGGGCTGGTAACTGGGGGTGGGCTGTAAATGTGGAGTTTAAGAGAGGAGAAAAAGGCTTCTTGAAGAGGTTGTGTTATTGTTCTTAGCCTCTGCATTCCCAGTGAAGGTAGCTTCTGCCTAGGAAACTAAATGGAGGCTGGAACTGATTCCAAGGATGAATGTGCTCCAGGTAGAGCTGCCAGGAATAACTAAACCAGTTGGATGCTGCTGGGGATGAGCTCTCCTGCAGAGATTTGGAGAGATGCCTTCAGGAATCCTTGTCTGAGGCAATGGAGCAAGAGCTGCCTCCTGCCCCTGAGAAGGAGAGGAAGCTGCAGGGTCCAAAGCCTTGGGTTGGGCTGATCCTGCTGCCTTTGTCCTGTACTTAAATTTGGCCTGGTCTTGGCAAGAGAAGTCTCAGTGACCACCAGGCTGGTGAATAGAGGGTGCTAGAGCTGCAGGAAGTAAAGCTTTGCAGGACAAAGCTCATTTTTTTATCTGTTTCCTTTCCCTAAGAAGAGAAATTGGGCATGTGGAATAAATGGTGCAGCAGTAACATTGGGAACAAACACATTAAAAACTGAAACAGAGCAGAGAGGCAAGAAAATCTTCTTGCAAAATAGGAAATGGGGGAGCTATTAGAACAAATTGTGGTTGGAGAGATGGAATGCAAAATGGCTCCAAATATAAACAAGAAAATAAAAGGTTTGTTCCAGGATACAAATGGAAAAGAGGATGGATGGGGCTTGGAGCAAGCTGGTCTGGTGGAAGGTGTCCTTGCCCATGGTAGGGGGTTTGGAATGGGATGAGCCTTAATGTCCCTTCCACCCCAACCCATTCTGGGATTCTGGGAGTCTGAATTGCCTGTTGTTCCCTCAGTCCAGGAACGCCTTACCAAACAAATTGCAGTCGCCATCACAGAAGCCTTACAGCCCGCCGGGGTCGGCGTCGTCGTGGAAGCTACGTGAGTGATCCAGCAGTTCCAGGGGTGGGATCCAGCAGTTCCATGGGTGGGATCCCAGCTGGGTGGGATCCCAGGAGTTCCAAGGGTGAGATCGCAGCTCTGTGTGATCTCAGCTCTGTGTGATCCAGGGGTGGGATCCTAGGAGTTCTAGGGGTAGGATCCCAGATCTGTGGGATCCCAGGTGTTCCATGGGTGGGATCCCAGGTGTTCCAAGGGTGGGATCCCAGGTGTTCCAAGGGTGGGATCCCAGATCTGTGTGATCCCAGGTGTTCCATGGGTGGGGTCCCAGCTCTATGTGATCCCAGGTGTTCCATGGGTGGGATGCCAGATCTTCCATGGGTGGGATCCCAGGTGTTCCAAGGGTGGGATCCCAGGTGTTCCAAGGGTGGGATCCCAGGTGTTCCAAGGGTGGGATCCCAGGTGTTCCAAGGGTGGGATCCCAGATCTGTGTGATCCCAGGTGTTCCATGGGTGGGGTATTGGAGGGGACCATTAAGGTGGTCCCTGCACTGAAATGTGAAGGATGGGGTGAGATATGAGTGGGTGGAGAGATTCTGTTTTAAATAAGACCAAATCTGTCTCATTGTTCTCAGCTAAATTTGTGGTCAAATGCAAGAATCCAAAACATTCCTTGCTCAATTTCAGCATTCTGGGCATCCATTATCTGAGCTGACCTTAAGGCAGCATTTGGTCTAGTCTGAAGCGCAGGGAAATGTTCAGGAATTAGGGCTCAGGGAGACTTTGGACATGAATTCCAAAGGTGGGTGGGGATACAAAGAATTCCAAGCCAGCAGAAGGAGACCAGAGAAGTGACTGTTTTGCCCTAAAATAGTCCCTGGTGCTGCAGGTGGGGGGAAGCTGTCACTCAACACAGTGACGTGCCAAGGGCAGCCCGTGAGGAATACCTGGGCAGCCATGGATTTACACAGGTCAGCACAGGGCTCTCTTTTGGCAGCACCAAATTAATTGTGAAGATCAGTCAGTGGCCAGCTGGAAATAACTGTAATATTGTCTTTTTCCTTTCTCCTTTAGGATCGTGGAAATATACAGTAGAAGGTTACAAGGTAAACACGAAATTTGGTGTTTGTTGTGTGCACTCCTCTCCTAGTCAGTGCAGGGGGCTGGTAACTGGGGGTGGACTGTAAATGTGGAGTTTAAGAGGGGAGAAAAAGGCTTCTTGAAGAGGTTGTGTTATTGTTCTTAGCCTCTGCATTCCCAGTGAAGGTAGCTTCTGCCTAGGAAACTAAATGGAGGCTGGAACTGATTCCAAGGATGAATGTGCTCCAGGTAGAGCTGCCAGGAATAACTAAACCAGTTGGATGCTGCTGGGGATGAGCTCTCCTGCAGAGATTTGGAGAGATGCCTTCAGGAATCCTTGTCTGAGGCAATGGAGCAAGAGCTGCCTCCTGCCCCTGAGAAGGAGAGGAAGCTGCAGGGTCCAAAGCCTTGGGTTGGGCTGATCCTGCTGCCTTTGTCCTGTACTTAAATTTGGCCTGGTCTTGGCAAGAGAAGTCTCAGTGACCACCAGGCTGGTGAATAGAGGGTGCTAGAGCTGCAGGAAGTAAAGCTTTGCAGGACAAAGCTCATTTTTTTATCTGTTTCCTTTCCCTAAGAAGAGAAATTGGGCATGTGGAATAAATGGTGCAGCAGTAACGTTGGGAACAAACACATTAAAAACTGAAACAGAGCAGAGAGGCAAGAAAATCTTCTTGCAAAATAGGAAATGGGGGAGCTATTAGAACAAATTGTGGTTGGAGAGATGGAATGCAAAATGGCTCCAAATATAAACAAGAAAATAAAAGGTTTGTTCCAGGATACAAATGGAAAAGAGGATGGATGGGGCTTGGAGCAAGCTGGTCTGGTGGAAGGTGTCCTTGCCCATGGTAGGGGGTTTGGAATGGGATGAGCCTTAATGTCCCTTCCACCCCAACCCATTCTGGGATTCTAGGAGTCTGAATTGCCTGTTGTTCCCTCAGTCCAGGAACGCCTTACCAAACAAATTGCAGTCGCCATCACAGAAGCCTTACAGCCCGCCGGGGTCGGCGTCGTCGTGGAAGCTACGTGAGTGATCCAGCAGTTCCAGGGGTGGGATCCAGCAGTTCCATGGGTGGGATCCCAGCTGGGTGGGATCCCAGGAGTTCCAAGGGTGAGATCGCAGCTCTGTGTGATCTCAGCTCTGTGTGATCCAGGGGTGGGATCCTAGGAGTTCTAGGGGTGGGATCCCAGATCTGTGTGATCCCAGGTGTTCCATGGGTGGGATCCCAGGTGTTCCAAGGGTGGGATCCCAGGTGTTCCAAGGGTGGGATCCCAGGTGTTCCAAGGGTGGGATCCCAGGTGTTCCAAGGGTGGGATCCCAGATCTGTGGGATCCCAGGTGTTCCATGGGTGGGATCCCAGGTGTTCCAAGGGTGGGATCCCAGGTGTTCCAAGGGTGGGATCCCAGATCTGTGTGATCCCAGGTGTTCCATGGGTGGGGTCCCAGCTCTATGTGATCCCAGGTGTTCCATGGGTGGGATGCCAGATCTTCCATGGGTGGAATCCCAGCTCTGTGTGATCCCAGATGTTCCAGGAGTGGGATCCCAGGAGTTCCAGGGGTGGGATCCTGGCTTCGTGTGATCTCAGGTGTTCCAGGGGTGGGATCCCAGGAGTTCCATGGGTGGTATCCCAGATCTGTGTGATCTCAGGTGTTCCATGAGTGTGATCCCAGCTCTGTGTGATCCCAGATGTTCCATGGGTGGGATCATGGCTCCCTGTGCTGCGGGGCTGGTGCCTGGTAGCTCTGAGCTATGCTTGGTTGTCAGGCAGAGGGATTAGTAATAACAATAATAATAATAACAACCACCCTGTTAATAATAACATATTACTAGTAGTAATAAAAAATTAGTAATCCTGATGTGCTGGAGCCCAATTTAAAGTGGGTGCTGCCTGATCCTCTGTGGAGATGTGGCACTGAGGAGCTGTCCCCTCCACCAGATCCATGCTGTGCTCCTTCTGCCTCCTTGAGCAGTGCAGAGCCTGGCACCAGCAGCAGGCATGTCCTGTGATCAGAGTGCACCTGGGGAAGGTGGGATTTTCCTGGGATCAGAGGAGAGAAGGCAGAGCTCAGTGGCTGAGGATGTGACTCTTCCACAGCTGAGGAGCTGCAGATGCCATTTCTGGTTGTGGAGGTTTTGAGACCTTCCCAGAACTGAGTGTGACCGTGTAAGAGACATCTCTCCCTGTGGGATTCCCTTCCCCAGGAGTGTTCCTGGTGCACTGACTGCCCTCTGGTTTCTCCTAGGCACATGTGCATGGTGATGCGTGGGGTACAGAAAATGAACAGTAAAACAGTGACCAGCACAATGCTGGGGGTGTTCCGGGAAGATCCAAAGACCCGTGAGGAATTCCTGACACTCATCAGGAGCTGAAACTGTGTCACCCTCTGGATGCACTCTGGATTGTTCTGTCCTGTGTCACTGTCTGTCCTTGTTCCCAAGTCCCACTTCTAAACTAAATTGTCGTGAATTGTTGTCATAGTCTTTGTGCAGTGAAAGGCTTCTGGTGGCACGTGGGAAAGGTGGGATGAGGGAGGCTCCTCCTGGATTTCCACTGATGCTGATGTCACTGAGTTACAAGCCACAAACGGGAGTTTGGAAATGTTTTTCCATCCATAATGCAGAATATCCAGCTGTCAGGAGAGAAGTGGGGCTCAGGAGTGAAGTGGGTATTTATGAAATAGTTGTGTTTGTTAGAATAAATGTGGAGCAGCACAGGAAACACCTGAAAGGATGTGGATCTTTGTAGGATTGGGATTGTCCTGAATTATTGGACCATGTTTTATTGCAAGTCCTGCAGTGGCTGGATATGTGTGTTATACCTCTGAATTGTTACCTCTGGTGTGTTTTATATTCTTGCTAGTATTAACCTTCCTTTTCTGTGGTTGTTTTATTTTTTTTTGTTTTGTTTTGTTTGAGAAATGTGTAAACTCCATTTTTCCTATCCTCTTAACAGGCAGGGAATTAACTTCTGAATTATTTGGGGCACAGCCCTGTCTCAGTGCAAAGGGGTTTATGCACCTTTTTCTCTGTGCCTCAGAATGTCTGACCACTTGAACTGTCAGTTTCTTACTGTTTTTAAGGAAGCTTTAACAGAGGAGAGGAAAAAACCCTGCAGAGTCTACCTGCAGAGTACTGAGGTATCCAAAGAGGTTTTTAATGATATTTATATCTTGAGCTTTCCTTCTTGGATTTCCATGGGTTAGACTGAGAAGCTAAAATTAGTCTGATAATGGGAAAATGAAGATTTGCAAGCATTCCAAGGTGTCCATTTCCAATGCTGGACCAAAGGTGAGCATGAAATCCTGAGCACAGCACATGGTACCTCCCCTCCCTGCCGACAGGTTGGGTTATTTCAGGGCAGGGTAACCTGGAATGACAACAGCTCATTTCATAAGAGCAGCTGACAAAAGCATTTCCAGGGCCACCAGAATGAATCAAACCACATTTTTTTCCCCCCTGTGTGTGTGGCAACTTCTGTAAGTGGCAGAATTGGTACAAAAAGTTTCAGTCCAGCTGGACTTGGCTGAACTTCTGCTTTGTTGCCATTTTAATGGGTGTTTTGTAACTCTTAATTGGGAAAAGATGAGGAGCAAATGAAAACCACCCCGCTCACACCCAGCTTGCAAAACAGATGTCAGCCAGGGGGGTGGATGCCCACAGGTTCCCAGGGCTCTCTGCTTTGCTGGACATCAATCCAAGATGTCCTGGCCATGAACCTCAAGGGCAGTTCCTGCTCTGGCCAGCTGCATCCCACCAACTTTCCTCCCTCTTGCTCCAGTTGCAAACAAAATAAAAATCATGTTTGGTCAGATTGGGCCTAAAGAATTATTTCAAGGAGAACAGGCTCATGTGTTTAATTACACTAATTTTACTTTGAGGACCTTCACAGCATTATTGGAAGAATCTTTCAGAGCATCCTCTGTGCTGGGTTCTGTAGGATTAGGTGCTGGAACAGTGTTTGTCTCTGGTGTAAACAAGCTGTGCTGCACATTGCTAAGCCACACCAACTCCATGGCATTTGTTTTCCTGAAAACAAAGTTTTCAGTTCAGTATGTTACAAATATCCAGCTGAAAAGCCTTAAATCTTTCTTGCCTGAGCTTGGCAGTAAACCTCTCCTTTTAGAAGGAGATTTTGAGGACCAAAGGGGCACACAGCAGTACACTTATTTCTCTTTCCTTGCTTTGGGAATTAAGTCTCTGTAAAACACTGTCTTGGTCCTGAGGCACCAAAAAAGTTGTGTTTTAACCACTTATCTCTATTCAGGATAAAGTTCACATTGCACCACCACTGTTCTTTATTTCCATGTGACTTGTAGTCCTTAAAACACCTCTCTCTACTCGTGGCCTTGGATTTTGTTCCCATTTTTGCTGTTGTCAATCTCAGTGCGTTTTTTGGGATGTCAGCATTGTCCAAACACAGCAGCTCTGTGTAAATATGTAAAGGATGTACAGCCCCTGTTGTACTGCTCACCAGTCCCTGTTTGTCTCTGAAACATTAAAGGAAAATGTTATCCTTTGGAGTGGGAGCATCCTTGGGGGACTGGAGGTGATGGCACTGCTCAGGGGAAGGGCCAGAGCTCCCTCCCCCAGCTGGAGATGGTTTTCACTCGTGGATGAGGTGCTGGGTTGCTCCTCTGGGCTGGGTGGTGCTGTTATCCACAGGTGAGTCCCCACTGGTGACTGGGAAGCAAAAAAACCTCCAGGATTTGTTGTCACCTTCTTCTTACTGCTGCTTGGAGGCAGGGGAACCAAGAGCAAATACACTGGAGCAGGGGTGGTGAGGGGCAGGGGCTGCTCCCCTGGGTGGGGTTTCACAGTCTTCTTGTACCCTTTGTGCCCTTCCTGAGCTGTCCTGGAGGCCTCACATTGGCCTGGGGAAATTCCTGGTTCCTGGCCAGGTGTTCAAGTTACCTGAACAAATAAATCCCATCAGTATCTGTGACAAGGGACCTGGAAGGTGAGGCCAGGGTTGGGTTGGGTTGCCCCATGGGGTGCAGAGTGGGTAGATTGCCTTAAAGCCATTCCTACTGTCCTCCAGCCTCCCAGGAAGCAGATATTGCTGGAATTTAGGGGAAAAAAATATAAAATGCATGGATCCCAGACTCGTGAGGAGCAGGGCAGCCCAAGTGCAGAGGGAAGGGGGTCACAGGGTCTGTGTCCACTGTGGTGGCCAGGCAGGGAGAGGGGATGATGAATGGAGCCTCCTCCAGCCCCTTCTGTCCTTTTGATGCAAATGGTCTGAACTGTTTGGAAATAAAGCCCCAGGAGCATTGGCAAGACCCATCCTCGTGGTGAGGCTGAGTTCTGTCTTTCCCTCAGCTGTGCATGAAAAAGCTGCTGCTTGTGGTGGGAAGTGGGAAGTGGTCTGTTTGGGAAAACAGGCACTTCTGCAAGGAATTATCTATTCCCTGCTTTTTTTTTTTTTTTTTTTTAAGGTGTGGGATTGGGAAGGAGCCTCACTGGTTTTGCCATCATGGGAAAATCTGTTTTCATCGGGGTGAGAAAATATTTCGCTTCAAAGTATTTTGCTTCAAATATTTTGCTTTATAGCTAAAAAAAAAAAAAAAAAAAAAAGACAAACCCAAAAAAAAAAACCCAAAACAAAAAGCTAAAACAGGACTAAAACCTGTTAAATACAGGGACATCCTCCCAGCCCTGTCCTGCCCCATTTGCCAGGATCCCACCTGATCTATCATGTGGTCAATTCCTTTCCTGATGCTCTCCAGTGCTATGTGTTGCTAATACATTTTATTTTCTCAAGGGAAAATATCTGAGCAGCTTCTTTGAGGTTTTTTTTCTCTCGCTTTGGTTATTTTGGGTGTCTCCCATCACCTCTGCCCCTGTGCTGTGGAGTGACCAGTCCATAAATCCCTGTGCCATGTCCAGCCAGGCCCTCACCAGCTGTGTTCCACCTCTTGGAGCAGGTTTTTATCATGGAATCATGAAATTTGGGAGAGCCCTCCCTGGCCACTGAGCCCCACAGTTACCCCAGCACTGCCAAGCCCACCAGGACGCTCCAGTTCAGGCAACTTCCTCCAGCTCTGGACTCCAAATTAGGCCTTTTTAGACAAAAATCTGCATTCCAGCAGACTGAGTGGCTGCAGGCAAGGGCTGGGATCATCCCAGAGGCTTCGTGCAGCCTCCACAACCTCCCACACCTTGGAGAGCTGCTTGAAGGGCTCCAGCAGCTCCTCAGCTGCCCCTGGCTCCTGCTCCTGTTTCTGGAGCCCTGCTGGAGTTGGGGCAGAGCCTGTAATGAACTGTGACCTTTGAGCCTTGGCTGAGCCCCTCTGGCCAGCTCCTGGAAATAACTCCTAGGAAAAGCTTTGCCTTCCAGCTGTTTTGGAAGTTACACTTATGATTTAGGAGTTGAGGGGGCATAAAACATGAAAGATCTTGTTAATAAGTCTTGGTCTGGGAGTGACAGAAAAGAAATCACAGTATTCAAAGAAATATTGCTAAAATACACAAAGAATATAATCACAAGGAATTTATTTGTTGTTTTTAACAAGTTTATATTGTGTTTTTGGTGTTGGGGTGTTGCAGAGGTGATTTTGGGAGGTGAATGTACCACGTTCCCTGTTTGCTCTTCTCCACACCAGGACTGCAGCAGTGAAGCGAAGGTGAAAAACTCACACTAAGAGGGATCAACTCCACTGCAAAGGCCTGAAAATTATTTAAAAAGTGGCAAGGTAAAGCAGAGTGGTGCTGCTCTGGGCTCGAATGTGTGGATGCCATGGAGGGAGGAATTCCTGGGACCCTGGCCAGCTGCTGTGGGAAGGTGTCCGTGCTTCAGCTCCCTCCTGCCCTGGCTGTGGGTGCCTGTGCACCCTCTGAGCATCCCCTGGTTCCAGCACAGCTCATCCTGCACTGGCATCTCCTCAGCTCCCTTGTCCTGGGACAAGGCATGGAGCTGCTGGAGGGCTGCAGGAATGGCTGGGGAGGTGACAGTCACTGCTCCAGCATGAGGTGCATCAATGTGCAGGAAAAAAAAGGCAAAATTTCAGGATACAGCCACTGGAGCAGGCTCCCCAAGGAAGTGGTCACTGCACCAATCCTGCCAGAGCTGAAGAAGCATTTGGACAATGTTCTCAGGCACAGGGTGGGGTTGCTGGGGTGTCTGTGCAGGGCCAGGAGTTGGACTGGATGCAAAATGTGGGTCCCTTGCAGCTCAGGACATTCTGTGATCTCTGCTGGGTTTTGATGCTGTGAAGGGTGCCAGCCCTTGGCTGTGGGCACCCGAACTGGCAGAGCCCCAGGTGCCAGCCCTGGGTCTGTGCCCACAGCCCGGGTCTGTGCCCATACCCTGGGTCTGTGCCCACATCCCAGCCCTGTGCCCACACCCCAGCCCTGTGCCCACATCCCAGCCCTGTGCCCACTTTCTCTTCTGCAGCCTCTTCTCCATCGCTCCTCACCGCAGGACATAGCTGGGAGGGAAAAGACTCTTGGTGCTGGAAGGGAGAGAGAGAAGGACGGGAAAGGTTTTGTAGGGAAGCAGCAGAGGGAGGGAGGGAGGGAATTAGGGCTGGCAGGGGTTTGCAGAGGCCATGCCCGGCTCAGGGATGCCCGGGCTCCGGCGGGTCCCGGCTCCGCAGCGCCCGGGTCGCGCAGTCTGTGGCTCCCTCTGCTGAGCCCGGCCCCGAGCTCTGCCGGCCGCAGGAGGAGCAGGGCCTTCCTTGGGGCTGGAAATCTGTTTTTGGGAAGCCCACGGATCACCCGAATGCCAGGCTGAGGGTGTGGGGGTGGGTGAGGGGCATGCAGCCCCTCCGCTGCATCCCGCTGCTGGGTGATGCTGCAAACACCCACCTGTGCTGCCTCTGGACAGGGGTGGGGATGGGGCTGGTTTGTCCAAAAGCAGAGGCTACATGCCACAATGAGGTATTTAAAAAATTATTATTATTTAAAATTAGCCCCAAAATCGATTTTCTTTAGAAAAGGGGGGATTTTGGCTGAGCTGGACCCCATCTCCTCTGACCAGGCTCTGTCAGTGGGGTGTTTTGTGGAGAAAAGATGGAAAATCATAGAAACACAGAATGGTTTTGGTTGCAAAAAAAAGAGATTGTCTTCTGCCCAGTCCCCTGCCGTGGGCAGGGACACCATCCACTATCCCAGGTTGTTCCAAGCCCTATTTAACCTGGCTTTGAACACTTCCAGGCATCGGGCAGCCTCAGGTTCTCAGGACAACCTGTGTCATGGCCCCAGCACCTTCTGAGTAATGAATTCCTTCCTAACACCTCATTTAAATCTCCTCTTTTAGTTTAAAACTGTTCCCCTGCTGTTCTGCTCCTCTGGGCACCTGCTCTGCCTGTGCTGGGCTCTGGGAGAAGCCGTGGGGAGCTCTGTGGGTATCAGGTGCCCAAGCTGATCCCATGCCAGGACCACCCATCCCTGCCCCACCTCGCCATGCTGCAGCCCCAGGGTGCCCATTCCAGGGGTGCATTCCTGATCCCTTTGCTGTCCCCAGCTAAAGCAGCTCCCTGGTGGTGGCAGAGGCCACGCTGCTGGCCTGGGCTGCCGGGAGAGCTGGGTGTTTGTAAATCCTGGGAGCATTCCTGGCTGGCAGCCAGGCCAGCAGCATCCAGCAGGCGTGGGGAATTCATTATTCCTTGATCCCGAGGAGCTCTGCTGGAAAAGACCTCTCCCTCTTGCATAAAAACTTCCCTGGAGTGGGAAATCCCTGCCTGCTGCCACTGGTAGGTCGTTCCCGGGATATTCCAGCCAGTGTTAAATATGAGGAATTTGTACCCACAGCACGAATCAGGTCAGGGAGAAGGGACAGGAGCATCCCCTTGGAAGGTGCACTTGCCTGGCTCCAGGGCTGGGGCTGCTTCTCCACCACCTTTCAGAGTAGGTAGACATGGAATAAAAGATGATGTTAACAAATGTGGGGTTATCCAGCTCCTGCTGGGATCACGAGAGCCCAGCAGCTGTGAAACAGCAGCCACCAGCTCCTGGCTCTGCTCCCAGCTGGGCAGGGGCTGCAGCCTCTGCCAGGCAGGAGAAGGGGACAGGATTTCCCCGGGCTGGATGGGGCTCAGGTGTGGTGGAATCCAGGTGCAGGCAGGCAAAGCCTTTAGTGTCTGGAATGGATTCACCCAACAGCTTCTGCCAGCATGGAAATGGTTTTTTTTCCCCTCCTGCTTTTCCTTTTTGAAGGCTCTTTCCTTTTGCCAGGCTGCAGGACCCACAGACTCTTCCTAAGCCATGGCTGCCACCGACTTTCCTTGGAGCCTTTTCAGCCCTTCCAACTCCACTTTTCCAACCCAGGTGTTTCTGCCTTTTCCTTTTTCTTTCCATTCTCTGTTAGTGCAATAACCCTGCACTGTGAGACCCAGACAGCAGCACAGGAACCTGGAAAGGCAAATTGTTTGGAAGGAAATTGTTTGGAAGGAGATGGCTTTTTTTTCTTTTTGGATTTAGGTTTCTCTGAGCTGCATTGGGAGGCCAATTCCCAATGAGTGCAGGCAGCCATGGCCAGTGGGCTGTGATGTGGATGGACAGGGAAATTCAGGTGGGACTGAGCACCATGGCAAATATTTCCCCTCTGGGGTGGCCTGGCCCAAGATGCTTGGGAGCATCCCAAATAAAAGGAGCTTGAGGACATGGTTTTGGGGTCTTGGCACCATCAGCATTTGGAGAGCTCAGCAGGAGCCTCATCCTAGGAGAAGCAGCAGATGAAGTGTTCAAACAACCTGAATAAACCCCATGTCTGCAAGTTCTGCTCCTCATGGGGGACCTGAGCCACCCAGGCTGTGGAGGGACAGGACAGCCAGGAGGTCTCTGCAGGGCATCCCTGGACCTGGATGCAGGAATGGCCAGGCTGATGAGGCAGAGAAGAGCCTGCAGGGCTGGGCTTGATCAGCCTGGAGATGTGGAGGCTCAGTTTGAGAAAATATGGAAAAACCAGGGGTAGAAGGTCCTGCCCGTGGTACTTCCCACAGCAGAGTATCCATGGGAAGTGGCAGCACCAGCTCTGAGTGTCCTTCCTGCTTGATCCAGCCCCAGGAGGGTCTGAAATGTGCAGGTTGTAAACCCAGAAAGAACCCAGCCTTAAATTCTTACCCCAAAAGTCTCCACACACACACTGAGGCTCTGGGCAAAGCCCCCATGTGCCTCCACACCCTCCAAGCTGCCCCAGCCCCAGTTCCTGCCGATTTCCAAAGAAAATCCTACATCTAAACAGCACCTGGGGCATGGGCATGGATGTCCCCAAAGGGACAGCGAGGCAGCTGCGTGGGGAATGCAGGGATTTGGAAGCTCTGCCACAGGCTTTAAATAAAGATCCCCAGCCCCCTGTGGAACTGTGGAGGGCTCCTCCCCTCTTGCCCACGGGACAATCTATTGAATTCCCATTTTTTTTTTTTTTGCCTGAAGGACTCCGAAGCCGCCTGCCAAGAAGGGGATAAATAAGGAGGCGCCACACCCCAGTGTTACAAAACCTTGTATTAATCATCTCCCTTCACTTTCAATATAGAGCAGATATGAAATATAGCCATGGTTCCTAGTTACACGGGAGGAAATGAGTAATAAATACATCGGAGCAAGTGGAAATCACGAGGGTGTTTCACTGGGAACAACATTGGAAAACTGTACACTTGCAAAGACTGGCATCTCCAAACATTAGTATTTCTTTATATCGGGAAGCTTTTACATGTAACAAACATGCTATTGCCGTATATGACCAAAAAAAAAAAAAAAAAAGGAATTAAAATTTAAAAAATAGGCATTGCTCGGCAACATTAACTAGGCAAAAATAGTTCTTTTGTGCACTAACTTTGTACAGAAAAACCAGGACAAAAGGCATGCATGGACAAGGAGAGGCTGCCCGGGAACGGCATGCAACAGAAGAGAGGTCAAAGCTCTTTAAAGTCAGCTTACAATAGGCATAAATACATCAGGGTTATATATATTAATAAGGGAGGAAGTATTCTGTTTAACATTATTAACATTCCTGTTTTTTTATGTATTTTTCTTTTTTTTTTTTTTTTTCTTCCTATTCCTCCCAGAGGAATACACATTCACCTTTAAGTAAAGATAAAGGAATACAAAAAATAAAACTCACTTTGCAAACTCTTGATGACTCGTATAAAATCAACTTTAGTGTTATCGTCGCTGTGTGCAAATTATAGACGTCTGCGGGACCTGTTTCCACCAGGCACATTCCCAAAGCCAAACCCGACATGGAGAAAGGCGACAACAGAAATCCTTCCCCTAAGCGCTGACCCCCATCACAGTTTGGGATTTTCCTGCTGGATGCTGCCACCCCTAAACCCCTTGGAGGGTTTTGCTGAGCTGAGCTCGGGGTGTCCCTGGGGATGGCACCGAAGGGACAGGCTCGTGTCCCCGAGGTGCGCGCCGGGCTGGCCGGGCTCCCCGGGGCCGGCTCGGGGGAACAGCACCAGGAAAAGGTCCCGGGGCCCGGGGCTGGAGCCGGGAGAGCAGCGGGATGGGGGGACTTGCCCAGCCGACCCCCGGGACCCCGCGGCGGCGACATCTCCGGCAGGACAGGAGGGGACAGTCGCAGCGGATACAAAAAGAAAGGCACTGCCGCTTTATTACTGAATATTTGACTTCACAGCCTCACTCGTGCAACTGTTGGAGGATTTTTTTTTCTTTCTTTCTATAAATAGCTTTTATTTCTTTTAGGATTCAAGCTTTTTTTTCCCCCCCACCCTTTTAAGCTTCTTTCCCTGGAGCTCTGCTGCCCGCACTTGGCACCGGCAGCCAGAGCCAGCAGCACTTCCCGAACACAACTGAAGCCACTTTTTTTGTTGTTTTTACTCAAAAAACAAAACAAGAAACAGCAAACGCAACTAAGTCGTTATTAACCTCTAGACTGTCAATGGAAAATAAGCTTTTTCTCTTTTTTTTTTTTTTTAACATCAAAAGGATAAAACAATTGAATTATTTGGTGGTTGTTAATAACAGACATTATCATGGTTCCCAGCCACAGCAAGTTAATAGGTAAAATATCCAAAATAATCTCTCTGAACAATCAGAAAACCTCCGTGTCCATAGTCAGCGAAGGAATAAATAGAATTTCAGCTCTGTAAATACACTGGAGTCTCCCTGAGGGAGGCTCCTGCCACGGTGGCTCTGCTCACACCTCACAAGCTGGGGGTGCTGGGGGGTGACCCAGGTCCCCAGCGCCGACCCCGCTTCTCCTTCACCTCCTCACACCTCTTCCCAACCTCCCTGGCCTTCAGGTTTTCCCTTCTCCACCCTCCCCATCACCCCCCTCAACCTCCTGTCTGCCGGGAAGCAGGACACCAAGGAACAGCAAACATAAAACATTGCATTTGGCACTTGGGTTTCTGTATACATATATATATATATATTTCTTTTTTTTTTAGAAAAACAACTTAAAAACGCTGCATGACAAAAGGATTCACACGTCTCCCAGCCCTGCCCATGCTCTGGCTCCCCCTAATCCTGGCACACGATGCTGCCCGTGTTCTCACAGCCCATTCTGGAAATATTGCTGCCACCCATAGCTCAACCAATTGATTTTATATTTGTTATTATTTCATTGGAGGACTCGGAGCAGGATCGGGAGCGGCAGGAGCATCACTGCAGGTCAGAGCAGTGCTGGGTCAGATTTACCAATTTAACACCAAATTTAGGTCCTGTTATCAAAAGCAGCAGTGGGTGAGGGGCAGCCCAGCCCCTGCCAGCCCCACGGTTAATGCCAAGAAAACAAGGCTGTGAAGCTGCATTTTGGTGCCCTTTGTGACTTGGGTTTTATTTGGGGGCTCCTTCATCCCTCATTGGCCATGCTGGAAAAGCCCCTTACGGCTGGATTTGGGCAGGCTGGGCCAGATGTGTGGAGCCAGGATGCAGGAAACTCTCCCAGTGTCCCCCAGTTCCCAGATTCCCCCTGGGACCCTCCTCTGGGCGAGATGCCCCCGCTCCATCCCGCATCCCAATCCAAGCGGGGCACAGGGACAGGCACCCTCCACTGCCCTGAGCACCACGCTGCCTCCACACTGCAGATCTCTTGGCTAAACTGAAAGGAAACTTTGGGGTTATTTTATTATTTCTGTTTCAATCTGGGCCCGCCGGGTCAGCCTGCAGCCGAGAGCAGCGAAACTCGAGATGGGACTGCCGGCCCCGAAGGCCCCGGGCAGGGCAGGCGAATCCTCCCCAAAGGGTTTTTGGTCACACACCCCCACGTGGTGTTCCGTGCTCCTTGGCATCCTCCTCCAGGAGCAGGGTTTGCCCACGGCGAACCCTCCGTTGTCAGCACTCTCCTCCTCCTCCTCCTCCTCCATGTCTGCCCCAAGCTCCCCGTGCTGCTTCACCATCGTCGCTGAGATTTTGATTTTTTTTTTTTTTTGCCATCTTTTCCCCCCCCCTTAGCATGGATGTAATAAATGACAACACAAATTCCAAGTCTAATGATATGTTCACAAGGACAATCTACACATTCACAAAATTAAAACAGGAGAGAGAGAGAGAGAGAGAGAGGAGAGGAGAGAGGAGAAGGGATGCAAGCTATCGCTGAGGCTCCCTCAAGCCCCGACCTCGCCGCTGGACCTGCAGCAGTTGTTGTCCCGGCCAGCGTCCCCGTGGCGACGCCTTCTAGATCGTGGAGGTTCTGTCGACACCATCTGCAAGCGGGAAGGGAGAATTAGGAACAGCCCCAGTGAGTATTGGTACCCCCCAAGCTGGGGATTTAGGGGATGGACCCCCAGAGCACCCCCAGCCCCTACAGCGAGGTGGTGTTGGGGCCACCCCCACCACCTCCCATCTCCCCAGGGGGTGCAGAAGGGTTTTGGGGTGTCAGTGCTCTGCTGGTTCCTCTGTGCCACCAACTGTCCCCACCCCACAGCAGCTTCCCCAGGTCGCTGTCCCAACAGCAGTCCAGGCCTTCTGCCACGACCCCACAACCCCTTTCCCAGGAGCAGAGGAGGTTTCTGGGCAGCCTGGACTTGTCACAAGGCAGGTGACAGTCTGGGACTCTCCTACAGCACCACAAGTCCATGTGTCCCTGAGCAGGAGCCAGGGGACAGGGACAGAACTGGTCCCAGAGGCTGCCTTGCCCGCAGTTCACCCAACCCTGCAACACCTGCACCGCAGAGGATGCAAAATTTTCCTCCATCTGAGGATCATGGAAGGACAAAAAGCCCCGAGGCATCCTTTCTGTCTCCCCAGAGCCCCTGTCCCCAGCACCCCGTGACAGCAGGGATGCATCCAGCCACAGCCCGATCCCAGGAGCGAGGGGTCCATGACCCACCCCAAAGCCTCACAACTGACCCCGGTACCAGCAGCCCCCTGTCCCCACCCCCGGGGGCAGAAATCAGCACCCAACAGCACTTCCAACCCTCCAGCCCTGATCCCACACCCCGTCCCCCATCCCAAACCCCATCCCCAGGATGGAAAGTGGCAGGAGGCAGCTCCCAGAGTGGCTGTGGAACAGAGAATTCCCTGTTACCACTTGGGGCACCACGGCCACCTGCCTCCTTGACACTAAAAACAAACAGGTTTGTTACGCCTTTTTTTTTTTTTTTTTCTCCCCCGAAAGGTTTATTTTTTTAAGAGCTATTTATAGCACAACCGGTTTGGAGAGGCTCGGGGAATGCGACCTGGAAAAAATAACTTGGAGGAACAGTACCCTGCAGAGGAACAAGACAGCTAAGCCTCGGCTGGGCACACGCCGGAGAAACGCTTCGGGTGACAGAAGTGTCCTTGTTTTCCCAGCCAGGGATGCTGCCAGGGCCCTGCTGCTTCCCACAGTCCTTGTTCTCCCGTTCCTCTCCCCAGGAAGGGCTGTTGCATCTGCAGGGAGCCTGGTGGCACTGGTCCTCTCCGAGGGCTCCTGTCCTCAGCCATGGGTCACAGTCCAGGATTCCGCAGCAGGACCCGAGCTGGTCACTGGGGACTCCGGGCGATGCCGGCGGCCGCGCTCATCCCATCGCCGGGGCCATCCCGCGTGCCTGGGGCTCCAGAGCGTCGGCAGGGGACACCGGGAGCTTCTGGTGACACCGGTGCTCTGTGCTGCACTGGGCTCTCCACTGCTCTGCTGCTGCTGCCGTTTCATCTTCCCTGCTTGTTTTTGCCCCGCTCCTCCTCCCTCCCCGTGCCCGCTCTCCGCTGGCACCCCCGGCCGTGTGAGCACTGCCAGCTCCAGGGCACGGCGCCCGGCACAGCCCCTGGCACAGCGCCTGGCAGGGATTCAGCCCCCAGCTGTGGGCACCCCTGGTGGGATCCGGAGGCGGAAGGGCACAACGCTCCAAAGGCTGTGACCCATCCGAGCGCCGGCAGCAGGGGCTTTATCGAGAGCTAACGAGAGTAGCGAGCTAACACTAATTATCATTAGCAAGCTGAAGAGTGGCTAATTAGCACGGACTCCACTAGTGCTGGTGCGATCCCTGCGTTCGGCTTTGCCCCCTGCCCCGGCCGCCTCGCTGAGAGAAGCCAACATTCCCATCGGAACACCCCCGGGAGCATCCCTGCGTCCGGCCCCGCCGCCGTCCTGCTCTCACAGCCACAGCCTGTCCCAGCTTTTGGGGGGCACGGGGCAGGTGCTGGGGGGCTCAGCAGAGGTGGCGTGGACGTGCTGGAAGAGCCCCAGGAGGAGGGAATGCTCACCGCTGAGTGCGTGCTCCGTCATGCTCAGGCACAGGGACTCCAGCCTGTTGTTGATGTCAGGTTCAGTCACCGGTACCTGGAACTCTGCAGGGAGAAAGGGAATAGGAGATCCTGGTCAGGGACCTGGCAGGGATCCTGCCTGCCTGCTCTGTGTGGGAAAATCATCTTAAAAATGCCCCAGGAGGGTCTGACAGGCCTCCCAGAAAAATCATCTTCAGCAAGAGACGCTCACAAAAGCAGTCATCACTCCCTGTTATCCATAAAGGATGAATCTGAGGGGGTTCAGGTGCTGGTAACAGATGTAGGGGACAGCTGGAGCAAGAGCAGAACCCCACCCAGGGAGGGGGCAGCCCTGGTCATCTCCTGGGGATGGATGCTGTCCGTGCAGGCAGGGTTAGTGCTTGGACATGGGATGGCAGCACAGACCAGCAGAGCCACTCTCTGGCTTCTCTGGGACCAGCCTGGCTCCCACTCAGCCACCCACGTCGTCACTGCCACATCCCTGGGGGGGTGAGCACAAAAAAGGGGACACACACATGAAGTCTGGAGTGTTCCAACACCCCTGTCCTAATCTAAACAGCAGCAAACTTTCCCCACCCTGCAGCAAACCCTGCAAATACAGCTTGTGCTACTGTGCTGGACGGCATCTCCCGCTTTCCACTGGCTCACAGGAACATGGGATGAGATCCAGGAGGGTTGAGGTCCCCCCACAGCCTGGCAAACAGCGGTTTGTGAGCCCAGCATCACATCATTGCTTATTTTCCTTGCGACTTAATCCACGTCTTTGGCTCCCCAATCCTCCTACGCCCTCGTCCACCGCAGGCTGACACACCAAGAGAAACCCATTTATTCTCCTGCAGCGCCTGAGAAATGTGCCCTTGTCCCGGTGTTTAATCAATACCTGGGAACAGCTGCTGCTCCTGCTGTAGGGAACATTTGCTGCCCAAATGCTGCAGTTTAACACCACTGGTGTGTGAGGCCAGGGAGCTGCCAGCCCAAAGCAGGAGTGTAGGGATGAGGGTGAGCTCATGGGGGATGGATTCCCTGTCCCGAGGTGTAAATGGTTATGGGGTGTTGGTAGGAAAAGCTCAAAGCTAAGGAAGGCATACACAAAGAGGCTTCCTCAGGGCCAGGATGCTCCAGGTCCAGGGTCCAAGGTCAGAGGGATCCTCCCTGAATCAGAGGATGCTCCCATACACAGGAGCACTTTGGCAGTGCTGGGGAAGGAAGCACTGACACAGCAGCACTTCCCTTCACACGCACTGTGGAAAGAATTTCCCCTGAGTGCGTGAGGGCAGTCCTTCCGCACCGGGGCTGTGTCCATCCATCAGGAAAAAGTGATGGATGAGCCACCACCTTCCCTCCTGACAGGAGCCCCCCAGAAAGGAGCCAGGCAAGGCACCAGCACTGTAACACACAGAGTCAAGGTGGCGCATACAGGGTCAGAAATCCCTCCAGGGATGTCTGTGATTATCCCAGGAATTCAGAGATACCCCGGTGGGAGCACACTGTGGGGAGGCTCACCTCTCACCTCCCCTCGTCTCACCTGGCTGTGGGTAAGTGGAAAAGCACCTCTGCTGCCTACCTGGCTGCTGAAACATCAGCATGGTCTGCGGGGACGTGTGGACCGGCAGCGAGCGCGTCCTCTGCACCGAGCTGTGGCTCCGGCTGGGCATGCTGTTACTGCCCCCAGGGTTGGCAAACCACAGGTTCTGTGGGGAGCAAACACAGCGTGTGGGATGCGAGGCAAAGCCCTCTGCGCCGTGGGTTTATGACCACTTTGGGCTTGTAGAATCACAGGATGGGTTGCGTTGGAAAGGACCTTAGAGATCATCTAGTACCATCCCTTGACATGGGCAGGGAGCTTCCACTATCCCAGGTTGCTCCAAGCCCTGTCCAGCCTGGCCTTGGGCACTTCCAGGGATCCAGGGGCAGCCACAGCTTCTCTGGGCACCCTGTGCCAGGGCCTCCCCACCCTCACAGGGAAGAATTCCTTCCCAGTATCTCATCTAAATCTCCCCTCTAGCAATTTAAAACCCTTCCCTTCCTCCTACCACTATATCTGCTCTTGCCAAAATTCCCTCTTTTATTTTATAAGCCACTTTAAGGACTCAGCTTTTCCCCTTCTGCTGCTTAGTTTGTCCCCCTGCCGCTGCTCCCACTTCCACATCCCACTGCACAGAGGGGAGCCCAACCCAAATTCCTGCAAACTGCCGGAAGAGCAGGCAAAAAACTGGGGATGTGGACAAGTCAGAGAAGAAAAACCAAAGGAAGTGGGAAAGGGACGGGAGAGCCAGAAAGGGCAGGAACGCCGACCAACCTGTCTGCCTTGCTTGAGGATGGCGGGGCTGGCGGCAGGGCTGCGCTGGGGGGTGCCCAGCAGCCCCGTGGGGCCCAGCAGCCCCAGCCGGGCCGTGGGGAGGTTGCGGGAGGGGATCTGGAACTGCCGGGGGTTCCTCCGTGCCAGCCCTGCCCCCGCGGATCCGGCGGTCGGCAGGGAGTTGGACTGGCCAAAGCCTCGGCTGCGGAGAGAGACAGGGCTGGGGTGAGGCACTGAGCCTGCAGGGGGTCCTGACATCCCATCCCCACTGAGGGTGGGACACTGAGCCCTGGGAAGGGGGTCCTGACCTCCCATCCCACTGAGGGTGGGACACTGAGCCCTGGGAAGGGGTCCTGACCCTCCCATCCCACTGAGAGCGGGACACTGAGCTCTGGGAAGGGGTCCTGACATCCCATCCCAACGAGAGTGGGACACTGAGCCCTGGGAAGGGGTCCTGACCCTCCCATCCCACTGAGAGCGGGACACTGAGCTCTGGGAAGGGGTCCTGACATCCCATCCCAAGGAGAGCGGGACACTGAGCTCTGGGAAGGGGTCCTGACATCCCATCCCAAGGAGAGTGGGACACTGAGCTCTGGGAAGGGGTCCTGACCTCCCATCCCACTGAGAGTGGGACACTGAGCCCTCCAGGGGGGTCCTGGCCCTCCCATCCCACTGAGAGTGGGACACTGAGCCCTCCAGGGGGGTCCTGGCCCTCCCATCCCACTGAGAGTGGGACACTGAGCCCTCCAGGGGGGTCCTGGCCCTCCCATCCCAATGAGAGCGGGATACTGAGCCATCCCACTGAGAGCGGGACACTGAGCTCTGGGAAGGGGTCCTGACATCCCATCCCACTGAGAGTGGGACACTGAGCCCTGCAAGGGGGTCCTGACATCCCATCCCACTGAGAGTGGGACACTGAGCCCTGCAGGGGGGTCCTGGCCCTCCCACCCCACCGAGGTGCTCTCTCCACCCTGCACAGGCAGTGGGAAGGAGGCAGTCTGGGTGTGCAGCATCCTCTCTTCTTCCCATCTGCCAGTTGCCTTCCCGCCCTTCTGCAGTTCTCAGATCCACACTGGTTTTCTTTAAAGCTTATTTTACTCCTGCAAAATGGGTCTGCTCTTAAATACAATCTAAAATAATCCAGGTAATGCCCCAGGAACTTGATTTCTTCAAGAATTCTCATGAGTGGATTCTCCAGTGTCTAATTTAAGTTCAGCTTTTGCTGTTGTGCTTTCTTTCTCCCCTTCTAGGAGGCTTGTTTTTACAAATATGGTCACCTCTGAGACTTCTCAAGTTCTGTAAAATTTGGTTAGAATGACCTAATAAATCCAAGTTTTATTAAGAAGAGCTGAACTAAAGGAGCTCTCCTGAAATCTCATCCTGGAAGTTCCTATACTCCCAGTTACCTCTAAACACTGGGGGTTTTTTTGGGAATAAAAAACTTGCAACAAACCAGGCTTTGAATGAAACAAAGCAGTGATGTTGTTAAAAGTGATTTAAATATCTTTTTTTTTTTTTTTGGCACAACCCCTGTGCTTTCTAGGATCACCTGAAATCCAGCATCACCTTGGAAGTGAGCAAAGGTGGTGTTCCCAACACAGCCCTGCCTGGCTCTCTGACTGCACCTCTGGCTCTGCAAAGCTTCCAGCCTTTTTCTCTGCCACTTGACAGCTTTTGGAGGAAACTCTGGTGCTGATGCCATCACCAAAGGGCAGCAGGGAAAGAGCCCAGCACTGGGAACACCCTGCACAGCTGGGAAGTGCTGGAGCCATGGAGACAGGGTGGGATGGGAGGGAAAGGCAGCAACCACACGCACAAAGACACTGCCTGCTGTGCTCCCTTCCCAGCCAGCACCTGGGATTGCACTGCTGAAGCTTTTCCAATCCTTCCCCTTCCCTAAACACAACTCTGAACCCAGCAGAACCCATCCCTGCCTCCCGAAATCCCGCATACCTCCTCTGCTGCCGATAGCCCGACAGCTCCAGGAGGGATTTCCGAGGGAAAGACCGAAAGAGTTTCTGCACCTGCTGTTTCCATGACAGCAGCCGCTTCTTCTGGATCTCTGTAAACGCCTGCCCCCCAAAAAAAGAGAGAGAAAAAAAGGAAATGGATGAATATTCTTCTGGACAAAGCCAGCAGGGATGTGCATGTGGGAGTGTGGGTAAAGAAAAGCAGCTGGAGCAGATGATGGGGTGAGCTGAGCCCCATCAGAAAGTCCAGGGGGAAACACTGCTCTGTCCTCAGGATTTACTCATCTCAGGTGGAGAAAATGCTCTGGCAGCATTCCCTGTGTCCCAGAGTGACAGCCCAGCTCTGCCTCAAGGCTGCCCACTCCTTTTGGCAGAGCGAGGGTTCGACCGTGCGTCCCGATGGGTGGTGACACTTGTCACCTGGATGTGGCTCTAGAAATGCTGCCAGGGTGAGCAAAGCTGGGATTTGGAAAGCTGAGCTGCCCTGTGGCATCCTGCATCCTATCCCCCTTCTTGGCTGTGATCCTGGCACTGACAGGCTTGGGGAGGTCACCCAGGGTGAGCCTGTCACCCACCCGGGCTCCCTGCAAAGGTCACCCAGGCAGTGACAGACCTGCTCCCAGAGCTCCAGCCAGGAGGTGTGGGTGACAGGGACACCCACGTGCCACCACTGCTAACTTTAGACACCCTAGGTCTCTGTTGGAGAGCAGCAGAAGTCTCCAGAGGACAATCTGGAGGCTAATTAGTGCCTGACTTGATTGCTCCGAACCACTCAGGAGGAGATGCTCTCTCCTGGTGCTGATTATGCCGGAGCCAGCGCAGAGGGTGGCCCTGGGATGTGGGTGGCTCTGGTGGGAGAAGTGCAGGCACTTTGGGAAAAGTTCCATGTCCTCCTGGCTTTGCTCTCTGGTCCCCAGCTTCCACCACTTCTGCTCCCTGATCCCTGCCATATGGGCAGGTGATGGAAGCAGCTTCTTCCAGGTTCTGCCAGAGTAGGTAGGAGACACTGCAGGACACCAGGGACACTGGCCATCCCTCCCTGCCACCAGCGTGCCAGAGCCCTGTGGCACAGCCTGGGCCATCCCAATCCATCACCCAGCCAAGGCAGACCCGCTGGGAGCAGGAACAGATGTAAAATCCCTGTTGCAAAATCCCAAGACCACGTGGTGCAAAACGGGAGGAGGCAACGCGAAGGATCGCTGGCTCTGTGTGATGGGAACTGCCTGCACGTTCATCCCAGGATTCCTGCTTTCATCCAGCTGCTGGTGGGACTGTCACGAGCCAGATGAATTTCCCAGCTCCAGGCCTTGGCAATTAAACCAGCGTGGGGGGAAGCAACATTTCCATGCACCACGTTGGAGCTACCGCCTGCTCCAAGCCTGTTCTGTCAGAATTACTATTAATACCCCCCAAAAATATTTGTGTTAGAAACCCAACGGTTTACATAAACAGACACTTTGGAAACAGTTTCCAAGTGATGAGAACAACAGTTTTAGATGATCTGACACGACTCACCTCGTGGATTAGACATTTGTCTATGAGCTGTAAATAGGAACTTATATTCTCTTCATCGGGTCGGGAAACTAAAAGTTGTGTGCAGACTGGAAAAAAAAGAGGAAGAGAAGGGAAATGGGGATGGGGACACCAGGATGGGGCCCAGGAGGGGTCCCACAAACCCCTTGGACATCCTGTTTCCCTTGTAACCACGAGCAGGTTTTTCATCACTGAGACAAAACGCCCCTCCCCAATTCCTGCTGTACCTTTCTATATTTAGGGACAGATTTTGTTCTCTGTTATGATGGTGTAAATCCAGAGTAACACCACTGGAGCCCCCAAAATTAGACCTAAGCAACTCAGGGGCACAGGATTAACCCCTATTCATAGACAAGAGAGCTCCTTCTCCCATGGCCAAAATCTGCCCCCACTGCAGAGTGGTCAATTCCCACCTTCCCTGATGAATTTTAACCTCTTTTGGAATGAATGTCATTGAAGGAAGTGGGAATGAGCTCACAGAGGAATGAGCTTCTCCTATTGTAAACGCCTGGGCAGGGATGCCTGGGGGTCCAGGAGGACACCACATCTTGGCAGGGCTTGTGCCACACTCTGACATTTGTCACAGGAATGAAATGGGGCCGGAGCCCCACATGTGGCTGTTTCTGCAGGGAACCAGTTGGGGACAAATTCTGCACCAGGTTCCTGTGTAGAAAAAAATCTCAAACTATTTTTTTGCAAAGAAGGTTGGAAATAGAGACAAGGCTGATATTTCTTTGTGGCACCCCAATGAGGCTCTTCCTGTTCCCAGTCTCCTGCAGATGAGAATCCCCCTCCTCTTCCCCAGGTGACCTCCCTCCATGCAGCACTGACACCTCAGGTGCCACCAGCAAGATTAGGGCACATCCAAGATCACACAGATTTGCTCCAAGAGGCAAGAATATTGCACAGGTCAGTCCCCACCTCAGCTTGCTCCTGTTACCTCCCAATGTGTCATCCCTGATGCAAAGCTGCACAGCCTGCACTTGACAAGGAACAGCACCTGAGTATTCTGGATGTCCTGCCTCCAAAGTGGGGCATAAGAAGGGGCTTGGACCCACTGATTTGCCCTCCAAATGGCTCATGTCCAGCCCATGCACCACTGCTACCCTGCTCCAAGCAGGGTAAGTCCAAGGGATGCTTCTCAAACCACCTGTGGATCAGTGGCATGACCCCAGGGTTCTGGATGGGAAGAGAGAGGACATCTTCCACTCCTGACCTCAGGGAAAGTAGTGATTTCTGCCTCTGACCTGGGGCAGGGAGAGGATGCTTTCCACTTTGGACCTGGGGCTTGGAATGCATGCCATCCACCTTGGACCTGGGGCTTTGAATGCATGCCATCCACCCTGGACCTGGGGCTTGGAATGCATGCCATCCACCCTGGACCTCGGGCAGGCAGCTTGGGCCATTGCTGCCCCTCCCCAGAACCACAACCCACCTGCCCTATCTTCTTACCTCTAAGCCCAGCACGACAGAACCTCAAAAAACCACCACACCCCTCAGACTGGGAGCTGCAGGAGCTCAGGGAAAGGCGGCTGCCACCTGCCACCACACACCCCGTGCCCCGGGGCAGCCCTCCCTGGTGACGAGTCCCCAGGTCACCGAGGACAAGCGACAGCTGCTCCTCACCTTTCCCCATCACTCGGGTGAACTGCCCGGGCAGGTCTCCCTCGGGCAAAGGGGCTCCTCCCGACTCGCCCTCGCATCCCGGGAGATGGTGCTGCTGCATCCCGGCGGCCGCGGCGTCCTTGCAGTCCGAGCCTTGGCTGTCCGAGCCCAGCAGGGAGGAGGGCTGGTGCGACTCCACGTCCCGGCTGTGCTCCTCCGTGCTCGAGTTCTGGGAGGAGTAGGCTTTGATGGGGGTGAGGATCATTTGGTGTAGCTCCTGCAGCGGGACACGCAAGTTGCCACCTTCCAGGATGTCCTGTGGATCCAAGTGGAGAGAGGAGGTTTGTGTTTGCAGGGACCAGACCCCTCCTGAGACGCCCTGAGAATTCCCAGCTTTACTCCTGCTGCATTCCACAGTCAACAGCCACGTTTCACTCATCAAGTCTTTTCTTTTTATCAGGGGAGTGCTGCAGGGACTGATTACCCAGGGATGTGTCCAGACCTGAATCCCCTGAGATAAATGTGCCCCCATCAACCGCTGGGACCCAAGTGCAACAACAATCCAGCTTCAATGTTTCCACATTTCCACCAGGGAAATGGCAAGTCCATGAAAGTGACTGAGCCCGGGAGATTTGAATGCCCAGAGAAGTAAATATCTTGTTGGTTCCCCAGCAATCCTACAATCCCAACATTTCAGCTCTATTTCATTGGAATTACACTAACATGGGCTCGTTTCCTTTTTCCAGCATTTCCTTCAAGCCTGGCTCCCACTGACTGCTCTGCCCCAAAACTGCTTGCCATGGCATCCTCATGCTCTGGGATCACCTCAGAGCCCAGGACTAAGCTGGGATGCAGGAGCCTGTCCTGTGGCAGCTGTGGGGACATCCCTGCCCACTCTGGGATGGGCTGGGAGAATGGATGCAGAGGGCACTGGGAGGGTTTCAAGGAGAGCAGGGGGTTTGTGGTCAGACACAGAAGGGGACACCACAAGGTGAAGTGATACTCCCACAGCAAAACCATTCCGCTTGGAGATCCTGGGGCAGATCCACCCAGGAGGGAGAGAATTTGGGTGCACCCCAGCCTCACTCCTGGTGTGGATCAAGAACTCCATTTCTACGGTCAGATCCTCGTCCCACTGAAGGGAAATAACTGCATTTTGTTTTTAATGTGGCCTGGACCAGAACAGCTCACTGCAGGCACAGTCTGGCTCATGGGACACTGCTTGGAAAGAGGCAACTTTTGGAGTGAATCCTGATGTGCTGAAGGAAGGGACACTAAGTGGGCACATGGGATGTCTGCAAGCCTTGAAACAGTTGTTGATTCTAATTCCTGCAGCATTCCCAGCTCACTCTTGGACGCCTCAGCTCCATTTCTCACAAAGATCTGGTGTCAGTCTGCTGGGCACTATTTTTCTGGGAGACAATCCTGCCCTGCTAACTAAGAGAGAGGGGTGGAGCAGCTCTTTCCAAGAAAGCAGCAGCATTTAGCAGCGAGACACTGCCCAAAAACATCAAGTCCCACACATGCTCCTGTTTAGCAAAAGCTGGATGGGAAGCCTGGAAAAGCAGAGATGTCTCCTCCCAGGGAAAGCAGCTCACAGGCAGCTCTGAGCCCCAGCAGAGCAGGACAGGGTCACAGTGCCACAGCCCAAACCCATCCCAGAGGGCTCCAAACCAGTCCCTGCCACTTTCCTCCTGTATTTTACAGCGTGCCTGGCTGGCTGTGCCAGCTGAGCTGGGCTCCAGCTCCTGCACAGCACCACTCAATCAATACCAGATTCCCAAATCCCAGTGGAGGAGTGGAGGAAGAGGCTGTGCAATAGCCTGGAAAACACAGGGCTGCAGCCAGCTCCATCCAGCTCTTGGATTTAATAGTTATTATTAATAACAGAGGTAAATATGGCTTTATTAGCTCCTGCCATACTCTGAGCACAAGCCCATATTATAAATAAATAGTGAAGCAGTGAGCTAAGGAAAACACCAATAAATAGCAACACACCACAGAAGTATTTAAAAGCCCCTAGTGGGAGGCTCTGCAAGTTGCTGTTTGAAGATGGTGCAATTAAATATAATATAATACAGCGATAATAAATAGGGAGAGGTTGGGTGAGCTGCTCCCAGCTAGGCTGTGGTGCTGCTCCTTCCCCAAAAGCCCTTCCTGCGTGGTTTAAGCTTTTGTTGAAGTGATAAAGAAGTTTCTATTTATTCTCCTTGGAAATTCAGGATGTTTTTCGGGCACTGGAATTCTGTGAAATAAAACCACAGATCCCCACAATATGTGTAAGCAAAGAGTACTTCACCCCAGAATTAATTCCTGGCTTCTTGAAAACAACAAGAAATACAAAAATGGTTGTGATTACTTACTCCTTCTAGAGATTTGAGCAGGTTTTGTCTTTCTTTTAGCTTTTGGATACTGATGACTATTTTGTGTCTTGCGCCTTTGGTAACATTCTGCAAAAACAGGACAAAACTTGATGTTAACACTTCCACAGGGCAGCTGGCCCAACCCAAACCCTTCCTCTCCTAAACAGAAAGGGCTCTAGAAATTAATTACATTTTTGAGTGCAGGGATTTGTGGCGGACATAGAAAATCACCCAGAGACTTGCTGAGGATAGAGATTTCCAGCTAGTCTGTCCCTCCCTGGTGCACCTACACATGGAGAGCAACGGTGTTCCCATTCCTCTTTATCCCAAGGATAATGCAGAGGTGAACCTGAAAGCAGTGGGGGCTGGAACTAGATAATCTTTAAGCCAACTTCCAACCCCAAACAGCAATATTCTATGATTCTGTGACATTTTCAAAGGCAGTCTGCCATCAAAGCCCCACTGCCTTTGAGGGAGTTGCCTACCACAGGCTGCACCCCTGAAACTCCTGAACTTAATCCCAGCTGGGAAAAAAGCCCCAAGCACAGCTCCCAGTGATGGGACCTCCATGCTGGGACAAGGTTTCTTTCACGTACAATGTGAGATTTTTTCACTCCCCAAGGCCCAATTTCCCTTTTTCTGCTTCCCAACCACGGGAAGTCACACGAAGGGGCTTTGGAAGTTGCCACCCCCAGGTGAGGTGGGACATACTTGTGCCTCGAGCTGGCATTCAGTGAGGGCCATCATCTCCTCGTACGTCATCTGGGAGAAGAGGGCGGCGTACTTGTGCAGCCGGAGGCTCTTCAGCCAGGCTGGGACATCTGCAGCAAAAGGCAAGGACAGGAGAGCTCCGCTGAATTCATGGAACACACGAGCACAACCACGAGCAACAGCATCAACCCCAGCGTGAGGGGCATCCCAAGGGACACCTCACTGAGCTTCACGGACCTCTGGGAGGACACAGGGATGTGGATGGGACGAGGAACCAGCCCCGGATGGGGATACAGGGCTGTGGATGTGAGTGGGACAAGGAACCAGCCCCTGGATGGGGACACAGGGTTGAGGTTGTGGACGTGAGAAGGAACCAGCCCCTGGATGGGGACACAGGGCTGTGGATGGGGATGGGATGAGGAACCAGCCCCTGGATGGGGATACAGGGCTGTGGATGTGGATGGGATGAGGAACCAGCCCCTGGATGGGGATACAGGGCTGTGGATGTGAGTGGGACAAGGAACCAGCCCCTGGATGGGGACACAGGGTTGTGGATGTGGATGGGAGAAGGAACCAGCCCCTGGATGGGGACACAGGGATGTGGATGTGGATGGGCCCCTGGATGAGGACACAAGGTTGTGGACGTGAGAAGGAACCAGCCCCTGGATGGGGACATGTGGATGGGACAAGGAACCAGCCCCTGGATGAGGACACAGGGTTGTGGATGTGGATGGGAGAAGGAACCAGCCCCTGGATGAGGACACGTCCTCAAAAGTTGGGTTTCTGTGGGAAAGCCACTGGGAGTCAGCCCATGGGGAGCAGGCATTGTGCCACTGCACGCCAAGCTCCTCACTGCTGTTTTCCCAGGAACACGGGAGCTGCTGAAGCTCATGGAGTGGTTGAGCTCAGGACAAGCAAAGGGCTGTTTTGTGGATGGCAGACACTGATTTATGGCATGAGGGATGGTGGCATGTGCTGAAAATGGAACCGGCTGCTTAAACAGAACTACAGAGATGGGTTTGGGATGGAAAAATGATGTGCCATCAAAGATGGCCCCACACCCTGCCTCAAAGGGTGACTTGGGACCCAAAATGCACTGACTGAAATGACTTCTTCCTTCCCAGTTGTTACCTGCAGGGTAGCACCTCTATGCCCAGCTGGAGGGGTACCCAAAAATACATTTATCCTCCTGACATCAACATGGTTTCACAGTGAGGGACCTGGGAGGGGAATCCTTCCTCTGTGACATTCAGAACTCCATGATGGAGAAGGCAATGTGACAACAAGCAGCTATGCAGGGTTTTGCAGGTCTGGGGGTCTGTGGTGGCACCCCACAAGGGAGGGGGGCCCTGCAGGTGTCTGTGCTGCAGCACAGCACTGGCCTGTGACGACGTTTTTAGTTTGTAAAGGCTTCAAATGCTTTGCCAAACTGAGACCTGCTTTATTCAGCACCTACAACCCCACAGGAGCTCTGCCACAGCCTCCCCAGCTGATGTGCTCTGCTCCCAGCAATACCTTGTCCACAGTCCTTGTCCCCTTCCCTACCAGTGAGACACTTGGGAGCTCATTCCCACTGCTGAGACATCCATCTCATGGAGTGGGTCCAGAAAGTCCCACACTGCTGAGTACCACATGCAAGCCAAGGATTGTCCATGACCTCTTCCTGAACCAAGGCCTCATCACTGGAAGGGACAGGGCAGGAGGGATCTTGGTTTGCTTCCCTAAGGCAATCCATACATCTGCCAGAAGTCTCCTGCTGATCCCAAACCCACCTTGCATCCAAGCAGAGGATGCAAACAATTCCAACATGCTGCATCCTGCTCCCACTCTCCAAATCCCAGACACACACTGGGATTCACGTGTCAATGAAATTCCTCAAGTGCTACACAGGAGATCAAACCCACACCAAACACGGGGAAAAGCAATTACAGAGCACAGATGGGCTGAAATTCACCGTTTTCCCTAAGTTCTGACATGCAACATTCCCCAAGTGTGCTACCAGCACCCTCTTAAACTAATTTCTGTTTAAAATAAACAAAAACCTCTAAACAAAAAGCCCCATCTCCAGCACAGGCTCAAATTTCAACACCATTTTAACACAAAACCACATCATTCTAGTGACAGCACATTAAAAGTCTCCCTGATCCCCCATCCCCATGGGACATCTGCCTTTGGCACACATCCATGCCAATGGCAAAGCCCACAGGGATGCTTCCAGAAGAGAGATGCAACTTCACACAGACACTGAACCCTGCAGGAAACCCATCTCCAACCTGTGCAGAAGCAGCTCTTTGCCTTTGCATCAGCCTGTCTGGATCATGCCTTGATTTTGGGGAGAGTGGTGGTCCCAGAGCCCCTGAGCCAGCAGAGATCCTGGCAATCCTGGGAGCAGGCTGGGGAGAAGGAGCCACCCCAGGACAGAGGGAGTGTGTTGTGTGTGGTGGAGCTTTCCCCCTTCCCACAGGGAAGAGGCAACCAGGAGGTGCAAGGACATCCAAGGTGATTTCCTGGTCCTTGGAAAGTCAAACTTCCCAGTGCTCTCCATGGATGGGTGAACCAGCTGCCTGCAGAGCTACTCTTTAATCAGCAATTACCAGGAGCTAATTGTGAAGTCATGGCACGGCTGTCAGGAAATTTAGAAGGAAAACAATTCACCCTGCCATATCTACACACAGGACACCTTGGCTCTACCCAGACCTTCCTCCTGGTGCTCCCCAGGATGTGCCCCAGCAATCACAGAATCCTGGAATGGTTTGGTTTGGAAGGGACCTTAAAGATTATTTAATTCCAACCCCCTGCCATGGGCAGGGACACAGGAAGGGACAGACAGACAAATTGGGATCCATGGAGAACCAAGTGTCCATATCTTCCCCTGGAGAAACCAAGAGCTAGGATAAAGCCAAAGGACATCTTCCCTTCAGCATGAAGATAGATAGAAAGAAAAGAACTGGGAGCATCAAGATAAACAGAAAGGAAGGAAACAGGTGACACTGGGGGAGATAGACTGGCAAGGCAGGTGGGGATCTGTCATGACATTCCAGATCCCATGGGTCTGGATCCTCCTGGATGCCCTGGAGGGTGTTAAAGAAGGAACCAGCTGCCCAGGAGCAGGGGGGACACCCAGCCACAGGAGCCTGCAGGCACTCAGGGAGACGTGGCTGCAATTCAGAGAACGGACTTGGCAACAGGAGCAGCCAGCCTGGATGGAAAACGAGGCAGCCCCATAAAAATGCACCGAGTTGTGCCTTTCTGTAGGAACAAGAAACGGCACGATCGGAGTGCAGGGAACGGGCAGTCCTCTTTTTTTTTTTTTTTTTCAGGAAAGCTGTGGGGATACAATGGGTCATATGGAGCTCACAGTGCTTTGTTATTTGAGGACGATGAGCTACACAGCCACAGGAATGCTGTCTGGAGGCAAACAAGCCTCTGCTCTGCTTCCAAGTCCAGTTTTGGGCAGCACACCTTCAATAAAACGCGGACTTTTTGGAAAAAATCCTGGCGGAGAGAAGCAGGAACAACCCCAAGTTTAGAAAACATCATCTGGGAAGGCAGTGGAATGGTTCAGCCTGAAGAAAACCCAGCTGAGGGGGAGGACACAGCAGGCACAGACACCAGAGGTTGTGAACATCTGTTCTGCACGTCCCTGGACAGGGGGACAAAAGCCATTTGGCTGAGCCAGCAATGGGGGAATCATGTTTGGAAGTCTGGAAAGGGACAGCCCGAGGAAGGGTGGACGTAGCCCAGCTGCACGCAGCAGCAAGGGGATGTGTTAACATGTGGGGGTTATTGAATTGGTCGTGGCTGGTGGACAGCCTCTGGGTTTTGTGGATTTGGCCACACAGGTTGGTTGCACAGCACTGGGAAGTTCCTGTCCACGCAGATCCCGGAGCTGCAGCTGTGGATCACAGGGAGCCAAGCTCCCCATGGCCTCCTCCCCAGCTCCTTCTGCAGAAACCTGGAGAAATGTAGTGTTAAACAGCCCCCCAATAAAAACACTTGCTCCCAAAAAGTTCTCCCTGGCCAGACAGACTGCAGGACTCGACCTGCCTCTATTACATTCCCTAGAACCACGAGGGGTTTTTCATGCATTTATTTCATGCACATCAAAGCCATCCAGAGCCAAGCCAAACGCAGTCCCACATCACACAGATTTATCCACATCTCAATTTGTCTGTAATTAGACTAAAATCAGGCCTTGTGACTGTTAAAAAATACAATTATTTCCCTATTCTGATACACCACTGGTTAGCACAAAGTCAAGCTGCTTTGCATTAATACAAATTGGAGTTGTTTAAATCAGTCTGAGAGCTGCAGGGTCATTTTCAGTCTGTTCCCAGGAACACACAGTCTGTGCGTTTGCCCAGTTTTTAGCTGTTTATTCCTCCTCTGCTTTAAGTTTGCTCTGCATCTTTGACTGCAGCAAGTAGGGCTCATTTCTGCCTTGTTTACCACCAGAACCACATATATTTATTGCCAAAATCTCTGTGAAATGTAGGTATAATGGGAAAACCGACCGAAACACACAGGTTAAATTCACTGCAAACAAGTATCCCAAGCCAAAACTTCCCCAGATACTTGGTGGGTACCAAACACTGCAATGGTAAATCACACGTGGCTTGCTAAGCTTGCTCTAAGCTATTTTTCACTGTCATAAAAAAAAAAAAAGAGAGAAAAAAGAGCACCACTCGCAGCCAAAAGCCACAGGCAATGGAAAAAACCCAGCTTTTTTTGCAAAGCTGGCAGCTCCCAGGATTTTGGGGCAAAACCAGCCCACTGGCACCCGAGCGTAAGACGTCAGATCAGGACCAGCTGCTATTTAAAAGAAAACCCAAGGCATTCCCCTAAACCTGAACTCCTAATTCGGGGAGACAAGGCTGGGAGGCCCCGCTTGGCCAGGGGGATCCTCGCCCCAAAACCGCCGAGCGAGAGCGCCGCGCTGCCGGGAGCGCGGGCACAGCTCCCCCTCCTGCCTCGGGGCGCTGGGGGTCGGGGGCTGGTTTGTCACTCACCTTTCATCCCACTCCCTTCCTCCTGGAATGTGTTACGAGCAGAAGGCTGATCTTCTAAATGTTCACTCCCACCACTTCCCGAAGAGGCTACACTGCTTTGTGGAGACAGGGGGGCATGATCGGAAGGGATGCACTGGGGTCCTCTAGCTCGTAAGTCCTCATGAGACATCCATCCATGTCCTAGAGGTTGGTTTGGCACATTCATGGGTGGGGTAAGGGACACAGAGCGTTTCAAAGGGCTGTGGTGTGTCTGGCCTGAGAGAACTGAAAAAAAAATAAAATCAAAGAGGTTATTCCCCCCTCGCGGCCCGGGATGCAGCAGAGTCCCCCGAAAAAAAAAATAAAAAAAAAAAATCAAACGAAATTATAAAATGTGTGGTGGTGGTTGGCCATGGTGCCTGGCTGATGGCTTTGCAGCGCCCCTGAGCCCTACCCTGAGCTCTCTGCTTTGCCTCCTGGGAAGCAAAAAGGATGGGAGTACCTGCCCGGAGATGGGATCACACGAGCTACGCTGGGCTGCCCAAAGGAAGGTGTTGTGTGGAGTCCAGCTCTAGGGAAAAAACATCAATCCTGCAGTTCTGGAGCGAAAAAATCCCCAGGATGGGGATGTCCCACAGAGATCCAAGGGAAGCATCCTTGTCTCTCCCTTTGGGTTAGGAGCTGGCTTGTGCCCTGAAGCAGGAGCACTCACACGTCTCCCACAATCACTGCAAGGGTACTTCTCATCCATAGGAATGTCTCAGCCTTGCTGAGTCCTACTAAAATCACAGGATTATGGGATGGTTTGTGTTGGAAGGGGCCTTACAGATCTCATTCTAACCCCCTGACATAAGCAGGGACACATTCCACTAGACCAGCTTGCTCCAATCCCTGCCCCACCTGCCCTTACTCTGTTTTAAGTACTGAAAAAAAGTATTAAAAGATTGTTCTGTTTGCTTAACAAAATTCAAATTCCATCACTCAGAGTCACTAAACTACTGGTTTAAACATAAACACGGTGCATTTAATTTAACATACAGTTTTAGGATGCAAACCAGGGAAAATTTCCCTGCTCCAGGAAAACCTCAGGGCAGAGGGATTAGAATGACCTTTCAGCCTACAAGAAACAGAAGCAAAAACTCTTCAATTTTTCTTTCCAAACCAAATTTCTAAACTGTGCAAAACCTGGGGGAAATTCATTGTTCTCATGGCTTTTCCATCTAAAGCACCAAAGCCCTAAAGCTCCTTAATCCCCTTTTTGCATTTACAGCAGTTCACCAAAACCACTCAGACTCCTCTCCATGTTATTATTTAATATAAACGAGTCTTGGTGGAAAACCCCCAGCCAGGTGCACTGTGCTGCAAAGGTTAAGCCAGGCTTAATTCCCAGCTCAAGCCTGGGGGAAAACCCACCATCAAAGCCATCTTGCTGACCAGGAGCAGCATGAAAATGAGGCAGCAGTGAGGTTACAAAAGGAGGGGAGAGAGAAACACCAGAGCACATTTGCATTTATTAACCACCTGCAATAAGCAGCTGGTACCACAGGCAGCTGCTGGATGAGGCCAAAAAACCTGTGGATTTCTGTAGTGTTTAAATAATTCCTACTTCTGAAAGGGTTTTCTTTTGCCAACACATAACACTAACTCCACGCTCTGCAGGGAAGCACTGGGGTGGCTTATGGGGAAGAATTTGTTCCCTTCCCTTTTAAAAACTATACAAACATCTTCCAGAAGTCTCCTGGCAGAAAAGGATGTCAATGAGATCCTGAGATTGCTTCCAGAGCAGTGTTATGCTTCCTAAAGCTCTGATGTGATGCAGCCTAATGGGGACATAGATGGATTTCAGAAGGTCCTGGGCAAGCTTTTTCAGCTCTTGGCTTTGCAATCATACCCCCAAACCAGCATCTGTACGTGCCACATCACCCTCTCAGGAGAAAAATATATTTAGGATTTAAAACCCCCCAAAATATAACGGGAAAAAAATGGATAAATTGGTTAAAATGCATCACCAGGGCTGAGCACTGGCTCTGCACCACCCAGAGCCCTTCTGTGCCTGCTGCCCCCAGCTATGGTCACTCTGCCACGGGGAGAGAATTCACCCTGAATTTGTTGTAGGAAAAACACTGATTTAGGAAGTATTTGTGCCCCTCAGATGAAGGAGAGATGCAGGAGAAGGAGCAAGGAGGACTGAGGTTAATTGTCCCCTTTCAGGAGGCCAAGGGCTGCTCTGCCAATCCAGCTCTTGCAGGGTGTGTGCAGACACTGGTACCCAGCAGTGCTTACACCACCCTGCACACAAGAGGGTATTTTTGGCATAAATCCAGCCCAGATTCCTTCACGAGCAGCAACACCCCTGCAAACTGCTGCTCTTCCATCTTAATTTTATGTCCCCTAATTAGAAGCTGGTGTCGGCTGAAGGAGAAATAATGAACTCCAAAGGATGGTCAGGGACAATTAGAAACCATCCAGTGCACCAGACAAAAATCAGTTCCACTTCTTTCCCAGAGATAATGCAACACTGGATCCAAGAGAACACGTTTTACTAAGCCAAATTTTTAACACTGGGTCCAAGAGAACATGTTTTACTAAGCCAAATTTTTACTGAACTCTGAGTCAGTTCACACAACACCTGAGAGGCAGCAGGGACAATCCCTCTGCAAAGGATGCTGCAAGTCCCCAGCTCCTTGAAACCACCTGGGGACCAAACTGAGATGATTTAAGAGCTCTTAGCACTGGCCTAACTTTAGGGTCTGCTTTTTATTGGTGATAATGTGGTTTCTTGCAACCCCTCTTACCCATTTCCACCAGCCCTAAAAATGCTGAGAATCCTGGGATGGCATCCCTGTTTTACTCTGTAATCCCCCAGGGGATTAATAAATGCCCACATTTATTATATTTATTAATAGTATTTATTAATAATATTTATTAATACTATTTATTAATAATATTTATTAATGTTTCTGCTTGTGGTCATGCCCTCAGCTTCTTGAAATAAGAGGATGTAGCTAATTACTTCCAAAGCATCCGTTTATTGTATGGCCTGACCTGAATTTGACCACTCTGTGTGCTTTTTGGATGGTCCAAGGTGAATCCAGGGCTGAAATAAATGGTCCTGGCTAAAATGAATGGTCCACGTGGGCTTTAACTTCAGCAGAAGAAAACCAAGTGTGAGTTTATCACCTTACACTCATGCCTCCTCCTCTTTTACTATAAAAAATATTAAGCCTAAACTTAAAAAGGAAATCTAAAATGTTATTGGGGGCCAAGATAAGCTTCCAGGAGGTGGGTGGGCACAGCTGCCTCTCTGAGTGCTGTGAGCTGGGCAAACAAAGAGGGGAAACCACGGCTCCAAAGGGCATCCCACGCTGGCACACGGATCCCTACAGCTTGTAAGCATGCCCCATTTCTGGTTTAGAAGTGTTTTCCTGCCCTTCAGGTGCTGCCAAGACTCCACACAGGCACTGCCTGGTCCAGCTCCTTCCAAACTGGTGTCCAGTGGGACAGGGGTTGGAGCAGATCATGGTTTTGCCTGGAATCAGAGGGCTGGTGTTGCCTCTTTGCTCTGAGCAGCCAGGGTTGTGTTCAGCCCACACCAGCCCAGGTTTCCTTGCAAGAAACCTCTCCATGATTTCCAGACTGGGATCAAGCTCAGGGTAATACTCCCAGGTAAAAATAAAAAGCAGAGGATGGAGAAGGAGTGATGGCAACAAAGCTCCCCAAGACAGGAGGCAGCTGCTGGCCATGCTGGGAGCATCCCTGAAGGACCACCCCCTCCCCAGGCAAATCTGGATTTATCTCAGACCAAACCCTGCCTGGGCTGCCAGGCACAACACACTTACAGAAACTCTGTGGCTGCAAGTGCTCTCACCCCCTGAAGCCTTGGGTTTGGGATTTTTTTTTTCCCTCCCCCCTCTTTTCCCTTTTGAAGTGGTGCTGCCTGTTTTGGGAGGCAAGGGCTGATTTCAAGAGGGTTTTTGTTCACTGAGGACCATGTGGAACAGCGTCAGACATTTGTGTTGTGGTTTCTCAGGGTTCTGGGCCAATTTTTTTCAGCCTGAGAAGGGAAAAGCCACCCATTCCTGTAATTAGAGCTGAGAAATTGGGCTCTGCAGGCAGACCTTCCTCCACACAGCGTGGGACAGCTGACAAGGTGCTCACGCTCCCTCTGCCCCTCATGAAATCTGGCTTAGAGTGCTGCAAAAGTCCTTGAAAGGAGACACATGGGAGAGTTTCCAGTGAGAACCAAACCCACCACTGGGAGTATTCAGAATGTCTCCAGTCCCCACCATGCCCCTGACACCCAAAGGACCAGCAGTGGGTCCATACATCAGGTTACAATCCCAAATAACATCTTCCCCGTGCTTGCAGAAAGGAAAAGGCACTGCAAGGTGCATACTGAACTCTTTGGGACCTTCTTTTGGTTTTTTTAGCTTAAAATGACACTTGGCTGTTTACGGTGAGTCCTCAGGCAGCATCTGATCACATACAGCTCCTTTCCTGGTCTGTTGGTACCTGGAACAGCAGCCTGACCCCAAAAAGTGTGGATGTTTTAAATCCACACAAGGTTTTGTGCAGCCTGGAAGCTCCCCCGTGGAGAGGGAACATTGAGCATCCCCCTCACAAAGCCAACCCCAAGTTCAACTCAGTCCTCCCCTCTGCCTGCTCCTTGCTATCCCAGTCACAGCACATCCTCTCCTCCAGGAAGGCTTCCCCGTGCTGGCAGACCAATGCCCAGGGCTTTTCCAGCTTTTCTTTGCCCAGAACCCTTGGAAAGAGCTGCCAGTGGGTCACACTGCCCAGCTGGCACCCAGTCCCCTTCCTGGGCACCTCATTCACCTCCTCCCCACGCTGCCCCAGGCAGCTCCAGCACGGCCAGAGCACAACCTGATGGAACATTTTTCAGCTCAACATCCCCTAACCCTTGGAGCCTCCTCTTTGTGCCTTTTTTCCTTTAATCTCCCTGTGTTCTGTGGCTGTGACTTTTACACAAACTGTGTTTGCAGGAGCTGGATAATCCATGTGCTGGCCTCTGAACCACGGGCTGATCTAACCCTGAAGGGGTGAAATTCAGGGTCCTAAATGCAAGAAGCCACTGGGGAAAAGGAAAACAGAGGTATTAGGAAATTTAACCCCTGTACCAGGAAAAAAACCCATACAAGCAGAGTGCTGCCTCGAGCAGAGAAATGGGAAGAAGCAGAGACTGCAGAAAAGACTGTCAAGCAAATCTTTTTTAAGAAATGGTGTTTTTAAACACAGTTTCCTGTTGAAGAGACTGGACAGAGAAA